ACGCCCCGCCCCCGCGCGTCACCCGCCGAATCGCCGCGGCAACGGCCCGGCCAGCGCCGCGCGGCCCCACGCGCCATCAGGAGCGGCGAACACGCCATCGCGCCATGGGCCGCCCGCCAATGGAGCGCCGTGCTCCCCGCTCCGCGGCCGCTGATTGGGCGGCGGGAGCGGCTCCTTTGCATGCGCTGATGGAGCTCTGCCGCCGCCTCCGGACCGCCCCCGGCCGTGCTCGGGTCAGCGGTGCCGGTGGGGCTCGGGCGGGCTCGGGCCTTGTGCGCCTCCGACTCCGCGCTTTGCCGAGGCGTTAAAAGTCAGCGTAGAAATTCCCAGCTGCTGCCTGTCGGAACCAGCGGTTGCCCCTGACTCTCGGAGGGTGGGGGGAGTGGGGAATGGCAAAGCGATGTATTTGTATTTGTAGCTTCGGCTGGAGAGGAAGTGCAGTCTCTGGCATAAGAAGCTCTGAGAGATCCACCCGTACGCCTTCCTGTGTAACATATGCTAGGTGACCTTTAGCTAATCTCCAGAGGTCCCTACCAACCCTAACGATTGTGTGATTCTCTTGGGCACCGAGTCAGGTGGCTGCTAAATAGCGCTGCAGGTTGGCAGGGCCATTCCGTGTTTCTGGGGCTGAACATGTTCGACTACTAACCAAATACCTGCAGCCGTTTTTGCAGTGGTTGATCCGTGTCCGGCTTTCCCAAAACTGCATCTCACATGTGCCACTTCCCTTGGAAATATTTCTAGTAGCTCCTAGTAGTCCCACATAGCATTGTGCCGGGATCCTCATTAACATGATCCTCATTAACATGATCCTCACTAATGCGATGCTCAAAAAGGAAGTGCTGATGAAAAAGTTTCCTAAGAACTCCACCCAAAGTAGTTATTGTCAGTGATGAAATTGTGCCAGCTCAGTCTTTTAGCATGTAAATATACTTTTCATTCTCATCTTCAATGCAATGCTTATAAATCTTAATAATTTACTGCTGTGTATCCATCTTCCCTGASAGCTTCCTTAACACTAGTGGGTTTTCTTTAGTATCTCACTTTTCTTAGCTAAAAATGTAAATTATTAGTGAGATTTCTGTATTTGTTTGATAATATGTACAGCAATTTCTGTAACTCCATACACATATGACTAAGACAAAGCAAAACAATTCATACAGTTTCAACAATTATGTAATTAATACATAATTTAAGATGACCTTTAGTATCTTTGCTGTTTTCCACTTTTRCCATGAACATGATTTGGCAAGTGCTAAACATGCTCATTTTATTGAGGTCATTGGAAGCAAGAGGAGCTGCGGTGATTTGGGGTTTGTAGTCTCTGCAAGTACATGATACATTGCTGACATGAGGTTCTTGATCTGTAGCTCTGGCGATGGCCTGCCTGCAGCCTGGCCTTGTACTGGGACAGGCCACAGGAGCAGCGCTGCCCCATTGCCCAGGAGAAGGCAGGCAAAGCTGAGCCAGAATGGCTCCACCTGAGGAACATGTAATTGACAGACAACCACTGAAGAGTGCTACTGCCAACACCAAAAATACTGTCARCTAGTAATTTGGTTGTCTCAGACTTGTTCCCACTCATAAGAACATGAACCATTCACTGTGCTTAGGCTACTGATGAAGTAAACTACTTAACCATGGCCAGAGAAGTGTTGCCAGTTTAGGGAGTCTCTAAACACAGACACAGAGCGTAATTCAGAAAGGAGACGTTGTTTATTCTGTGCAAGGTACAAGGTGGAGTTTTCCACAAATAAAGCATACCAGTTCTTTAAACTTTCCACTACATATATATATATATTAGCAAACAAAGAAATCACAATTAATTGGTTACAAGTTACTTAGTTCTCTAATTAATTAGTAGACTATCTTCGATTGGTTGAATGATTCTCTTGTTTCTCATGCTCGCTTGTCCACATATTCAGCCATTCTCTTTTCACATAGGTGAGTTTTTTGAGTCGGTGGTCCATGAGTCAATGGCCAAAATCTCACTGCCAGACTCAAGAGACCATGAACTGCCACCAATCCCCTGAATACAAAGGGCACAGCGACCYGTGGCACCAGCCAGGTGACAAGAGACAAAGTAGGAGCCAACAACTCGATGGCAACTTCTTGTCAGGAAATGTAGCCATGGAACAAAGAGTAATGGGTACAAATTGTCAGAAGGGAAATTTAGAATACATATTAGGAAGAAATAGTTCCTGTGAAGGTGATGAGACACTGRACCAGGTTGCCTAAGGAGGGTGTGGATGCCCGAACCTTGGTGGTGTTCAAAGGTTGGACAAAACCTTGAGCAACCTGGTCTAGTGGGAGGTGTCCCTTCCCAAGRCAGAGGGGGTGGGATTAGATGATTCTTAAGATCACTTCCAACCCTTTAACATTCTATGATTCTAAGACCCCAGACTGACGTAAAAGCCAAGTAATCCTTTGTTCAGGGTCCCTCCTTTGAGGCTTAGCAGCCTTTTTCACTGATAAGGCCGGACACTGTTTCACAATACCCTTCTCACTGTCAGTAAYTCTCTTAGCAGATGACCGTGTGTGACTGTTGCGATGTGACCGTCAGAAGCTCAAAAGCCCGGCGAAATGAGCCCCATTTGCGGAGACACTGCACGGTGTTTGAGGGGGCTCCGGRGCTCGGCGGGCGCCCTGAGCCCGCGGGGCAGCGCCACAAGATGGCGGCCGCGGCTGAGGGGGACGGGCGGCAGCCCGGGGAGGCGGCGGGGGCGCGGAGCGGCCGCACCATGGAGCGGCGGGGGAGCGGTGGCGACGGCGACACGGACAGCGACGAGACCGTCGTGGAGGGCTCTGTGACGGAGAGTGATGTGGAGGAAGAGGAGTTCTGTAGGAGGAGGTGGTAACGCGGTGTGGCTGAGACCATCACCTGCCCACCTGCCTGTGCGAGGGCCGCAGCTGAGGGGGCCGCTCCCGACCTGAGGAGTTTTTGTTTGTTTGTTTGTTTGTTTTCTCCCCTGTGTTCAGAGCTGTATTATATGCCCTTAGACTTAATATGTCTTAGACCCGCAAATATCTCAGTTTATTTTCACACACCTTCCGTGCCTCGGAGCTTACGTATCTGGATGCAAAGTTTTAGTAACATTTTGGTCCCAGAAAGTAACTCGGAGAAAATAAACACTATTAAATACAGTTGGTGCAGATTCTATTTCCCTACAATTTTGCCTTGCTGTAATTTTCATGGCATTATCTCCGGTATCCTTTAAAGCATACGAAATATTTGAAACCACCTGCWGCTCTTTATGCTGACTTTGTGGCACCGTGGTTCTTGGAGATAATTAAAACAGCGATGTGCCTTCCTAGGTGTGTTTTTCTAAGCAGAAACCACATGCATCCCCACAATTTGGGATTTTTTTTTTTTTTACTATTTGTGTCAATGTTCACCCAGTGGTGTCCCCACGGCAGAGACTGGGGATGGGTGCTTTCAGATGSCCTTTGAGCTTATAGGACTGTAATGCTTACAACTGCTTAACGACCGTTTATTTTATTTATTTTGCAAAGGTTGCCTTTTCTTAACAAGGATATTGCTTTAACTACTAAGATAAGTATTAATCAAGGTAGGATGGATTCTTTGTTTGCTCTGTTGGTTTTTTTTTTCCTTAAACTGTTGCTTTGGATGTTGCCTGAGTCCATGTTTAAACTTGAGTGTTGCATGAAGCTTTTTCTTAGGGACTGTGTGTGCTCTTTTATTACATCCATAATTTTAACTAATTTAGAAAATTCTTCAGCACATTTTTGATATTTGATTAGGTTTGGTCTTGAGTTCTCTGTCTTGAGCTCTTGCTATGTGCTATGATTGAGAATCCCTGGCTTGGAAAGTGTTTGAGTTGTATATAGGGATATCCTTCTTATTTACATRTGTGTGTTTCTATGTATGTGTTTGAGAGAATAAAATAAATAGATTCTATACACATAGTAGTCATATGTAACTCTAGTTTCTTATTGTGTTAAAATCCCCCTGTAATATTGTTACTATATCCATTCTCTTTGATATAAAAAGTTTGGCTAGAGATATTTCAGTGCATTATGTTGAATGCATTATTAAGATACTTTCAGCATAAATGAATGCACACTCACCTAAGGTGTTAAAATATTCTCTAATAACTCCCATAGAGCAGGCTTGCATGAGCAAGCATGTTTTAGATAGATAATCGTTTCACTGGTACTTCCTTGGCATTTTTATCTAGTCCGTTTGACTTGCATCATATATGTTTTATTTCAGCAGTATTTCAGATTGGCTGTTATTTAAGTGATACATGGTATTCTTCCAGATTTTGTTCTGCTTATCTTTTTGCCAATTTGAACATCTGAGTGGACTTATCAACTTACTCTGATTCAATACAATTCTTATCTTGTATTGAAATTGGCACAAACTTTTCCAATGGCTGTCATTTCCTGATGCTGAACCTTTTATAGTTGCTTAATAATCTTAAGTGAGGTGAGAAGCATCATCCCATTTTGAATATTTTGAACACCTGTGATTGTCCACTGAATTAAGACCTGGCTATGTTCAACATAAATGGTTTAAGGCATGTTTGTTCAGTTTGTGGAGCGAGCATTTGTCTAAGGGCTGAGTGAGGAGTTTTTGTCTCTGCAACTTTAATAGATTGTGATATTTTTAGCATTCTGCTACATCATATTGGTAAATTGGAATTAGAATTTCATCATTTGTTTTTTTGTGCACACTTGTATAGTAGCAATTTAGTGATCAAATACATTGTGTAATTATTAATTTGATTTTATTAATGCCAGTAACATCTTAGTTTTCAAACATACTGTCCAACCTTAAGTGTTTCTCTTTCTCTTTTTCTTTTTTTTTTTTCTGAGAGGTCTTCGTTTGTGTAGTCATTTAAGAATACAAGTATGTTTTTAATCATATGGATCAGCCAGGTTACCAAAATTGCAGTTGTTTGTTTAAAAAATAAGAGGAAATACTTAATCTCTAATGCACATTTAGGGAGCATCCTGGAACACTAAACGAAGTGTATTTCCACTGTCAACTGGTTTTATTAATCTCTGTTTCATTAAAGGAGTTTCAAGATCTAGTTGGATAGACTGTTTAGCCACTTAAATCCATTGCATGTCAGAAGTTTTGATGCATGTACCTCAGTTACTGAGTTGTGTAAAAAGTTGTGGAATTATGGAAAATTACATAGAAATTAAGCCAATCAACATTTTAATTACTGGGATTTTTTTTTTTTGTTTTTTTTCCCTAGGAGCTGCTTCTCCAGAGATCTGTTTTATACAGAAATTTTGTGACCACTCATATTGTGATAAGAGAGAACATACAAATCCAGTAAGAACAACAATGCAACAATGATAACATCTCCTCTAAGCCTATCTAATGATTAATTATTAATAAACATGCTGAACCTCCCCTTGGTTATATGCAAAAGARTTTGGTGGTTTACAGCTAAACTGAATTTCACCTTGTCACCTATGGAGCACATAGTCTGCAGGACTGTGTCAAAGTCTCTTCTCTGGTATTTCGTGAGAGTATAATCTTTCAAATTTGAGGAACAAAGCTGAAGAAGTCGTGGAACACACACTTCTTAATATGTTCCCTTCAGGAGCTGAAGGATAATCATCTGGATTGACTGTGCCAAAATACACCCTGGGTTACTCATTATGAGATTAGTTGTGATCCAATGATTGAACGATTGGTTTTTTTTCAAAAGGAAAGAGGTAATAATCCAAAATGAAGATTAAAGTGTCTACTTGCATGATGATGGGGTAATTATTTTACTCCATGGATAATTCTGCATTCACTAATCTGCTAATYAACTTACCTTTTAACGTATTTAGCGTCATTGGTAGCTAGCCCATAAACTTCTATTCAGTTGAGCAATTAGCTTTCCACCTGCATATGACAGAGTCATGAAACAATTAGAGACAAACAGGTTCTCTGCTTTTAACAGTAATTGTTACATTGTCTTTAGCCTGGATTCACCAGTCCAAAGTCCACAACCTGTGTATCCTTATTTCAGTAAAAGAGAGTTTTTTTTTTTTAAAAAAAAAAAAAGAGCTAGACTGCTTCCTAGATGATGAAGGCTACTTTCCATAACTTAATTTTGCTCCTTGCATGTCTAGGGTTGTCTTGACTGAAGTTTGTCTTGATTTTTTAAGGATGGAGGGAATGACAGAAGTGCACATTTGCTCTTTCCCCTCTAGGAAATTATCTGACTTGCTGGTTCTTAACATAAGCCTTTGGCTTCATGGTTCTCACCAGATTAGCTAATCTGCAATTCCAAATCTAAAGATAAATGGCCAGTCCACTAAAGAAATAGTCATAAAAGCAAAGAAACCTAGTGTTTTTCACCAAATAGTTTGGGTAATACTTTGTTTTGTTTTTTTTTTTTATTTGGGACACCTGTATAGAAAGACATTAGCAGCTTGGTCATGCAGCATGTTGACAGTATAAAATTTAAATTTTTACTGAATAGTCTAAGATCTTGTTCTCCTGTCTTTGATACCCACACGTGTAGATGGCACCAATGTAACTCTTCAGCCACTTCAGGAGCCAACGTGGAATATACTTACATGGAAGTTTTCCTTCTACTATATCCTCAGAAATGATCATATCTGAATGTAACATTTAGATATGATGTGATGTGATATGAGGGTTGTGCAGAGTGGAACGGCTGTGAATGTTTTCCAGATATGTAACATCTGTTCCATTTGTTCCAGAGAGTCTTAGCTTTCTTTGTACTTCACATAGGTTGGGGGAGGAGTAGGATTTGCAGTCCTGTTTTTGTTTCCATCATGTAAGACATTGTAATTAAGAATTTTCCTCTACTGGAGATGCAGTAGACATATGTATAGATTTTGTAGGATCTAGATTCTTTTCAACAATCATTTTCATTATCTAATTAACATGCTATTCCAGGGCTTGTTCAGACAGGTATAATGATTGTAAGCTTGTGTTTTCCCCTTTTTTATACTTTTTTTTCTTACACTACTTGGTGAAATGCGCCAAAAGTCATCAGGTAACACCTAACAGCTTTTAAGCATTGGTCTTTTTGGAAAACATCCAGAGTCCCCTCATATAGTTGTCTATATAAATAAATGTTCAAATGAGAAAAATTATTGGGATTTTGTAGGAATTTCTTCACCAAAAATCAGGGCAGGACAAAAGGCAATTCCCAGTTCTTACGTCAGTGGCCACAAGTACTGTTTGTGCTACATACATAGTTTGAGAAAATCTCTCAACCAGTGAGCAATATACTGCTTTTGCTTGGAACCTWAATTTTTAAGCATACAAAACAGCTTCTTCTACTGAGTTAAAATGATAGTTTACTGAGATTTTAAGGAGTCTGTTTGAACAATGTTAGCCAACCAGAGAGTTTCAGTAGTTGTTCTGTTATTCTCCTGACCTTGCTTGGTCTCTGGATAATGTTCTKAGTAACTATTCAGGCTGACTTACCTGAAGGGTATATATAAGCAAAATAAATAACTTTCTGCAAACTATCTCAATGCCGTATTTTGGAATTACTTCAGTCAGTAGTTGTTGCACAAACTTAAGAATCTCTTCTCTTCCAGGGAGCCTTTTATCAGTCCTTGCTACTGGTCAATCTCCATGTTTTGCTCTTGAGGCCATTGTTAAGGTGCTTGTTCTTACTGTGTTGCTAATACCTTGTAAATCAAAAATGTCATCATTTGGTATCCACACCAAGGTGTTCTTTCTCAGAGCCTTCTAGTGCTGTTAATGTTGCCCGCTCTAAGTCAGTGATTTGTTTAAAATTGCAGCCAGTGTATGGACAGCCCACTAGTAACGCCCAGTCTTAGCTCATCAGTGAAGGAATTCTGCTGTTCCCTTGACTGTCTTAAAATCATGCCTTGTTTGCCTTAGACTTTGTATAAGGGGTCTTTTTTCCATATAGGAGGAGATCTCTTCATTATTAGCAAAGGCAGAAGAAGGACATCCAAGCTCTTTGTAATAAAAGAGTTGGAATTTGGCTCCTGTGATTCTCTCGTTGCCCACATACTCTTTTCTGTGTTGGCTTGTGGCAGCCCTGCCGCTTAGAACTGGTAATGTGCAGGTCTTGAAGTTCCTTAAATATGCTGTTTACAGGAATATTGAGAGCATTATATTAAACATCACAGTCTTCAGAACAGCACCCTGTCTTACTTAATGAAAAAGCATAATTGTTATTAAAAGCAGATTGAAAGTATGAAAAATATAAAAATACCTTGTAGTTTGGGTCCTTCATTGTATAAAGCATCTTACATTTAAAGCAATCATATCATACTAGCAATCGTTTGTTTTACTTGTGGGTGAATGTTTGCTTCTATGGTCTTGATTTATTTTCAACATTTTTGTCGAGTAGTATGAATTCAAAAAAATATTTAAGTGGAATGCATTTGTGTGTTATTAATAATGTATGTGATTGGATCTAAGAATTCCATTTCCCAACTAAAATACAGAAGAAAGAAGACAAACCTACAATAAAACTGAGAAAATAAATAATTACTTTGTTTACTAACTTGTTAATTTTTTTCTTCTTTTAGGTACTTCAAGAGGCATGYGCATCTGACCAGTCTCAGTCTCTACTGAAGTGAGTATAATACATCACACAGGAATTCTAATCAGGCACAATGTAATTAAACAATTTTGTTATACATCCATTTGTATGTTATTTTATTCCCCATGTTCTGTTGAGAAACAGTTTTCTTGTTTGCTTAGTGAAGGATCTATATTTATGTCAGCAGTAATTCAGTGTCCAGTATGAATCAAGCTGTACTTGGATTTATTTTTGTTGATGATATTACATTTAATGATTTAAGAACATAAGCAACAAGAATAACAGAACTGGGGGRAAACCATTAGACAAATAAACAAAAACTTGTAATAAATAATAAATAAATTGTAATAATGTATAATAATAATTTAATAATAATACTATTTTTAATAAAATTAATTGTAATAATTAAATAAATAATATTAGGTCTTTTTTTCCTGGAAACTATGGAAGAGTTCAGTAGAAGATAAGTTTATAACAGAAATATGGAAAGAAGTAATAAAGAATAGGAAAGGCCACTATCATTCAGAGAACAAATGTGCAGCCACAGGTAGGGTAGTTCCATGGAGGAAATCCAGAAGCCTTATTTATTGCATGTCATTGTAAAGAAAAATATACCTCTGAAATAACTGCGGCTATTTCCACAGATAGTGGCCAACTCAAAGTAATTTAAACATTTTTGTAAGATGACTAGTTTGGAATTATTTTAAGAATGTTTTAATTGTCAATTAATAATAATTAAAAATTACTAATAATAATTACAATAATTATTTAATTATTTATTGTTTTATTATTTATTATTTAATTCTAGGGGTTGGATAAACTGTTCATCACCTACTGAAAATATTTCTAAGCCTGGTTTTCCATTAAATTCTGTGGCAGAAGAACMGCTAAATAATTCTGTAGGTATGTTGTATTTTGTACAATGCAAAAAACAAGTTGCTCTAGATGTGGCAAAATCATTTAAGAAAATAATCTGAGAAGCTGAAGATGAGTAGCCGTGTAGGTTTATTTAGAATCTAAACTGTATGGTTCTCTACAACAGTTGTTCAGTTTTCATAWTGATGGACTACAAGTTTGTAAGTATTCTGTTAGGATTGTTAGAAGAGCCATTTTCTCAAGTCAGTGGTATTCAATAAAAATTATTTCATGGCTGTGGAATATTTTGCCAAAAGTTACTGGCCGCGTGGTGTTCAAATGCCTTATGAATGTATCAACTAAATGGGTAACAGTGGGTTCCTACTTGCTTCTTACTAAACATAGTCAAGAATCGGAGGCATCTGTAAGAAAAGAGAGTATTTCCCAGATGTYTATCACTTGCTGCTTACATTGAATGTACTTCTATTCCTCCGTGCTCCCAGAAGTGTGGGACTGCCCCATCTGTCCCTCTTGAGCTTGTTGTACCACTCCTGTAGTGCAAAATGAGAGACAGCTTAGCACCAGGGAAGAGCAGCGAAACTCAGTTTGTTTCTGATTTGGAAATTGCCAGGGAGTCACATGAATGTCAAAACAGGGTGATGCAAGCTGGGGGTTGGGATCATCCTTTTCCAGAGGTAGTAAGCTATTGGATAGTTTTAGCAGTATTATCTAATTGCACTGTAATTAGAGAGGGCAGACGATAGGTCTCCTGTGAAATGGGTGGTGATTCCATCTGCTGATAGTCTTTGGAAACACAGTACTTTAAACCACAGTGAAGAAATGTGACAAAATTGCTCTGACATATAATTTRGTGACTAACAGAGCCTAACTAGAAATTTTATTGTCAGTTCCACTTAGGGAATATAACTATAGTAATTTTTAAGGTTTGAAACTTAAGCCTTAATTAGGAAATAATGCCTTTTTTTAGAGGTGAGAACTTTCAGAAGGGGAAAGTAAAACTGAAATATTTGTCTACTCTCCTATTTTAGATATCAAATTGAATGGATTTCAGAAAGATTCAGAAGAAAAGGTAAGCAAGCATCGAGCTGTTGAAATGGACACTGGGCACATTAGGTGAAAACAAGTTTAAACCTAAGCTTTATTTTTTTGGGTTTTTTTTWAAATAAGAACTGTGGTTCCTAAGTTTGCAGAACATAAGGATAGAAGCACAACAGTGAAAGTGAGGTGGGAAACACATCATCAGGAGTCAGAATCTATTAGGACTGTTATTTAGCCCAAAGTAATGAAGACACTTAGTAGCTTAGAACGTTTCCCACCAATGGAAGCTATGAGACAGGCGTTGCMTTCAGAAGGTCTTTGAGGAGGAAGATTATCTGTAACTGTCCTTCTGTTTGAAAGAGTCTTACTAGTCGCCAGAAATAGGTAGTAGCAGAGTTGCTGCTGTGAAAAATTCTGCTTAATGAGGTTATCATATCATTATGATTGTTCCATCTAGTCTCATTGATCTGTATCTGCAAATGAAAAGTTGTTGTATGTAAATCAGTTTTACTTCACTTTTTTCAAGGATCCTGGTTGAGGTTTATGTCAAGGAAAACGCAGTACTGGGTAAAATTAGTCAAAGGCTGAGTTGAGACTGGTATTGATACTGAAATTGGCCAGATAGTAAACTAAGACAGTTTTGAGTATTAGAGAGCAAGCATTCTTTAGTGCAGCAGTGATCACTTGGAGGAGCCTTCCTGCAGCTGAACACACCAAGCACTGGGTGAACAGTGTTTTTCATGCACACTGATTGCACCTTCATTGGATGTAACCCCTTACCTGATATATATGTATTGCCTTATTTGACAGTTGCACCCACCTTATCAGAAGTTTTTTTAAGGTTCTTGGCGTCTTTGGTAGTTTTCAATGTCCCATGTCCTTTTTAGGGGCCTGTTCCTTGAGCCTCACTTTTGAGTAAACTCAATGTCACTGTTTTTGCATAACTTCTACTTAGCCTTGCAGACCTGAGCTGGCATTCTGTTTGCATTTTGTATGGCTTCTGTTTGCCTAAGTTACACTATTTGTCTATTTCTCCAAGGATATGCTGTTCTACTGTCCTTATCAGAATAATCCTCTGTTCTGTTCTACTGTACTTATCACTATGGCAAATTGTTCATGTTGCCCAGCAAATACGAGTGATGACAGGGTCAAGTATTCCATCTCAGAACAAAGGAAAAAAATGAAATCTCCTAGGATATTCTTTTCTGAAAAATGTACAACTATTAATATGATATAATAAGTTTATTAAATGAAACATTCTACAGCATTAGTCTAATAGCACAAACTCTAGATGCCTTGAAACAGAGAATACTTGTGATTAATAGCCTCTGGAGAATGGGCAGATTGGATGCATTGAGAGTGTCTTCAGAGACGGTATTTTAGTAGCCTGGAGTAAGAAGGCTGGGAATAATCACTGCAGGAAATTTTACTTTGGATGTTGGCTGATGTTTGCAGTAGCAAGATCTGAGTCCTGCAGAAAGATCTTTAATGAGATAAAGTAATGGCCATCGCAGGCTTACATAATACTGATTTGAAGCAAGGTCAGGAGCAATGCCTTGACAACCAGCAGTGAGTCACTGAATATCTTAGTTTTGTGTATCCCTGAAAATACAAGATAAATGTATAAATTAAGATTATCTCTGCATAGGATTCTGACGCACAAAATTAGTCTTGCTGAGTTTTCTTAGTTTTGATAATGTAGCAGCAATGATTTGTGTTTGTTTAGTCTGTCAGTAGTGGGACCAGTACTGTTCAATGTCTTCATTCRTGGCCTGGAAAATGGGACTGACTGCACCCTCGGCAAGTTCAGAGATGGTACTGGGAGGAATGACTGGTAGACTAGATAGTTGTGTTGTCATTCATAGGGACCTGAACAGATTGGAAAACTGAGTAGAGGGGACTCTCATGAAACTTAGCAAGGGGAAATGCCAAGTTCTGCATCTGGGGAGGGATAACCTCAGGCACAAGTACAGCTGGGGATGAGCTGAGAGGAAGATAGCTTTGCCAGAGAAGGACTTCAGAATCGTGGTGGACTTTGTGTTATGCTCTTATGAGATCCCACCTGAAATACTGTGTCGGGAGTTTTGTGAAGATGTTGCATTTAAGGATTGAATTTCAATTGACATTTGAGTTTTTAGGGTCTTGCAAAATTAATCAATTATTGCCTGCCTTCTCCATTAATATAAATTATTTTCACCTGCCTTTCAGTAAATGCACTGAGCATTTTTCTTGGGATATTTGCAATGCATATACATGCTGTTTATACCACAGTCCTTCAAGCACAGAAAGTTGCACCCGTGGAGTTTTCCCCAGTTGTTTCAAGATCTGGATGAATTAGGGAARTGGTATAAAAAGAAAGTGTAATTCAGTAAAGCAAAGTAAGAAGTAATCAGTTCTTAGAAACAATTAGATGCATGTGTGAAAGATAGGAAACAGCTGTCTGGARAATAATTTTTCAACAAAGCATCAGGGATTTATACTAGCTTGCAAACTGAGTGTGAGTCAATGCTGTCAGATTTCTGCCCTTTCTCCTTTACTGTGTGTGAGCTTTATGTAAATCATGTTGTTGGTGGTAAAAGAGTTATTGCATTGCCTGGTATTACCACTGGCTGGCAGCAAGACTCTAAAAATGCATTGAATGAGATTTTTGTTAAGATCTGGTATTATTAAGTAAGAGCACTATTACATGCAAAGGTTATATAGAAAAAGGTTTAGTTTAGGTCTGTGGAGGCATCATATTTTCTGCAGAGTATTTGAAAAAAGGATAGGGAAAAAAATGGAAAAGCTATTTCTTCATGTAAGATTGAATGCTTCTGTTGAATGTAGCTCGAAGTGATTAGAGAAAACAGTAGCAGTGTTACTTTTCCAAGAACAATCACGATTTTGTGTTCAGTACCCAGTCTGGAAACCACGCCATGCAAACTTCTCAAAATCCTGAGGTTTTGAACTCAAGTTTGTGAGACACAAATCCTCCATGCCTTTATTGGATTCACATAAACACATAATCAAAATTCCTATGTTGTTTTACTAATTATGTATTTTAARTTGTTGTGAATATTCTCACTTTCATTATTTCTGGTTGACAGAAATTTTTAATACCTTTTGTTTAAAGCCTTACAACACCCTAAGTTTATTGGCAAGGGTATGATATCTTTGACTAAAACATTTGCTCTGGATTTTCATTGCTGTAGAGGTCAGCAGCTGAAGTTTCAAGTTCATGTCTTTTGAAACGGAGAGCTCAGTCTAACTTTTGTTGATAGATTGTATATAGGAAGGCTTTGAGTCTTGTAGATTTTGCAGAAATTGATAATGAGATGTATACCTATATATAGAAAGAGAGATGACTTCTAAAGTRAATGTTAGTTAAACGCTTTTTAGAAAGAGTTGTTCCATTCCTTTTTGTGAACTTTTTATATTTAATTTTTAGATTTCACAAAAATTAAATAATGAAGATCACTTTTCAGAAATAAGCCTCTGTTTAAATGCTCCTGTGGAAGACATAGCTCTAAAGGAACAGACATCAGAAGGTATGTTTCCATATGTTTTAGATGGTCATGCCACAGAACCTGTGTGACCATTATTGATACAGATAACACAGTAAAAGAGCGTTCCCTTAATGATAGAGATCTTTCACTGTCATCCCCAGGGAAGATTTTCATGGACGTGTTCAGTGAACAGAATGTAGAGACTAGTGAAGTTGACATCAGTGATTTGTTGAGATACCCTAGTGATTCTGAGAGTCTTMAAGTTGGAAACCCATTGCCTGACAGGTTAGAGTGTCAGGGTCATGCCTTTTCCATTGATCTACCAGCAGCTGAGAGCAGTGATGCCCTGCCAGTAGAGTTTGTGGCRCCTCTGAAGGCCTTGTCAGGATCAATCATACAAGCTGCCACTCCAGTAGTGCCCAATGAGAGACAGCTTAACACCGAGGAAGAGCAGCTAAATTCAGAACCCAGTGCTCTGCAGCTAGATGATGACTGTACGCAAATAACAAATGTGATGGAGCCTCAACTTGCTACAGTTCAGGCAGAAGAAATAAGCACCTGCACAGGATCCAACTTGCAGAACACAGCGAATGAGCAAGTATACCCACAGTTTCATTCATATTTGAAATTTTATGTTTATCACAAAATATTATAATGTAGACAAATTACTTGAAGTTGAAAATCTTAGTAAAGAATAAGCTGGCATCAGTAATTTTTATGTTCAAATAATTTCAGTTGGTTTTGTTTTAAAAGTATTTTCTGTTTGGATATATCCATGTTATGAAAATAGCCGAGCCTGCTGGGATGGGAAATCTCAGTAAAGTTAATTTTTGACTGATGTGGAAACCTAGAATCAGCATGGGATTTTCAAAAACTTCTAGTCCCCATGTACATGTTCTGTGTCTCATGTTCTCTCCAAAAGACTATTCTGTTATTTCATTGCAGCGTACCAGAATATACTAGCCAATTCCAGTTCCAGGTTTTTGCTACATCTGGTTCTGTTTTTTATCCAGGCCAATACTATGTTGTTTCCTTTCATYGTGGTTCTCTCTACTTTAATATGCAAATGGTTTACAAGTACTACAAAATGGATTATAGCTATGTCCTTCCTGCAGGCTGCAAAGATTATTCAGTGGGGATTTTTTATACATGTATTTATTGTGCTTAGTTCTGCCTATGTGAGATACACTGAAAAATCTGAGGCATGRTTTTGTGTTCCTGTCCTCCCCTGAAGAAGCCAGTATGTATGGATACAGCATGTGATCCTTCTTGTCAGTTCTTGTGCTGTGAAGGTGTTTTGTAATAGGTCATTTCTATTCAAGAACACCAATGCAAAAATATGGAGAGGAGCATGAAAGGAAAGCAGTGCCATAGTCTCTTCCTGTTTAGATTGGAATAACAGAAGAGAAGGACATGGAGGAGACATAGCTTTGTGCTACAGAGTATATTAAGCATCTCTTGTAAACCTGTAACCTGATAGTCTGCTTTGTGTTGGCTTTGAATAATCTGGAGATCCAAATCAATGATCAGTCAAGTAAAGCTAGCTATTTCATGTGGTTTTACAACCACTTTACTTCCCCACAGTGGCGTAAGTATCCAAGAACTAGAAGTTAATTCTGTCTTTTTCTCATGTTATTAACTGCGTATGTCAGCAGGTAATTGAATGTGCCACAAAGGTGGCTAATTTCAAAATGCTGAAAGGTCTGTAGGCCAGCTGTCTCAGAACCATAGCACTTTACAAAGTGCTTTCAGTGAAGTATTGATTTCTGACATTTGAAGCACAGCTGTGTGAAGATTAAGGTGTATATTTACTCAAAATTGCAGTTAGAATTGTGAAGCAGAATCTTGTGGAAATGGAGATGTCTAATGTCTTATCAAACAATTATCAACTTCAGCTTTTCTTTGTGCCTTTTTCTGGTGTTCTTGAAGGCAGAAAGTAAGAAGGCAATTTACTGAGGGGAAAAAAATCCCAGTTAATTTGTAAGTAACTGTTGAATTGTAGTATATTGTTCACCTTAGTCTTTTCTCCTCTTTTTTCTGAATATTCTTGTGGTGAAACAAGTATCCAAAAGAAGAGAGCCCGTACTATATTGTAGTTGCAATCAGGATGCTGAATATCCCATGCATTTTAGAATATGGTCTCTTATAAAACAAGTCTGTTTTCTTTGAAATCTTTTATTCTCCTATTCTAACCCTGCTCTCATCTCAGATGTGAATCCGTGGAAAGTATTGATGTGTTAGTTTTGTAAGCTAATATATTTGATTTTCCCTAGCTGCCATAGGATGATTAAGGTTGGATAAGACCTCTGGRATCATCAAGTCCTATTGTGCAACCATGAACCACTGTGTTTACCACTGAACTGTATCCCCAAGTGCCACATCCACATTTTTGATCATTTCCATGGATGGTGATTCCACCACTTCCCTATTCACCCTGTTCCAGTACCTGACCACACTTCCAGTGAAGAAATTTTTCCTCATATCCAATCTAAACCTTCCCTGGCACAACTGGAGGCCATTTCCCCTTGTCCTATTGCTTTTTACCTGGAAGAAGAGACCAGCGCCCCCTTCACTACAAACTCCTTTCAAGATAGTTGTAGAGACCAATAAGGGCACCCCTGAGACTTCTTTTTCTCAGGCTAAACAACCCCACATCCCATGTTAACATTCATTATCTCTTGACCCAGAGGGTCTTCTGAGAAGGCAATTCCCCTTTTTAGTAATCTCTCTGCTACATACAGCAATGAAAAAAATTAATCAGCAAATTTTCCATTTCTGTCTGTATCCCAAGAAAGGACTAACCAGTTTTCCTGCATCGTTGTGAAAGAATTTTTATGCATGTGTGCTGAGGGTGTGTCCTAAAAGCTTTCAGCATTGCTCAAGTATGTAATAAACTAATGAGTACCCAGATTTAAGGAGCTTGAGTGATACATAGCAACATGTCACACTCACATGGCTAAAACAGTGAATAAACTCAAGTAGTTCCATGTGGTAACCTGTCGTGAGAGTGGGATTCGATGTAAGTCTTTAGTATACATGAGTCACTTAAGTTCCTCTTTGCACAATTTAGAATTAGGTGAATCACTATCATCTCAGAGTAGCTCTTCCTCTTTACCAGTCGTGGGGTAATGAGGATGCCTAGAGTCATCTACATGCCTGGCTTTTAGAAGGCTGAAGGTAAGTGAAGTGAAGTGAAGTGAATCTCATCTGTAGTGGCGGTGGCTYAGGGATGGTATGTCTTTAGAAATAACTTCTAGCTGGGAGTTTCTGAACTTCAGGTGAAACATGGATCTCACCTTGTGTAAGTTTTTAGGCTTCTTCAAGGGTGAAGTGAGATGGGCTGCCTTAAGACATCTCAAGCTTCATCTTATTTTTTAGGACAGGAGCTTTCATCCATAGAAAACTGAAATGAATGTGTTAAGTCATTTCAAATATCCAATTAAATAACTTTCAGATAGAATAATTTTTTTTTTGCTGTCACACAGCCTAGATTTATATTTTAAGTTGTAATTCTSAGTAGCCTAATTCTCCTGGCTAATTCTGCCAGGAATGAATTGTATGACATACTACTGTGTCTCTTACAGCAGCCTATGTCTTTTAGATCTGTAGAATTCCAGTTATTCTCTTAAGCAACCCCTCAATTCTCTGTGACCGTATACAATTAAAAAAAGAGTGTTCTTGGAGCTCTTTTATATACAGCCTTTGTTTTAACTGCATGCCTACCTTCATGCCTCATTCTAATATTTCTTTTTTTTTTTTTCTCATAGCCTGTAGGTGACCAGCAGAGAGAGAAAGAAGTTACTTCAGATAACTTGGGTGCCAGTTTAAATGAAAGGCAAGCTGGTGAGGGGCATTCACAGACAATGGAGCCTGCAGCATGTGCAGAAACCACCCAAACAACATCAAGGTAAGCAATGTGTTTAAAAGAGACCTCCTCAGGAAAGCAGAGGGATTGTTTCCTCTTATCACTGAATATTAGAAGAKACAGCAGGGAATGGATCAAGAAACAAACCTAAGCATTTTGAATATGAGAAATTTATGCATAATAATTCTTACTTTTAAATAATATTAATGTAGTAAATACAATGCATGTGGAGTACTCATTTGTCATGTGAATGACTTTGAAAGATCAAAGATAAAGATTTTATCTTTTGTATAAAGATCTGAAAATTAGTTTCTCTACTGATTTATTCCTTATTCAGTACTATCCTAAGTTAGCCTATGTGCTTGCAAGCTGTTACAGACTTCCTTTTGAAATCAAACACATTAATTTTCTTAGTTCTAATGCAAACATTTATTTATATAGAGAATATTTTTGTTGATTCTAAGTAAATCTCTTGTCAGTAAAAATCAGAAATCTGCTTCTAATGATGAGGATCTAGAAGCCATCATATGGCAAGAAATAATGCTGAATGAGTATGCAGCAGCTAAGCAGAGGAGAAAGAGCACGAGACTCGACAATAAACGCAGTAAGATGCTCTATGCTGTTATCATAGAGATTATTTTATTATTTGAACATCTATATTGAAACAAATACAGTTCATAACTTTTCCAATATATTGTGGTATGATTTGMTTTTAAAAAGATGGTATAAACATTCGTTTTAGTAGTTAAAGTTATTGATAGTTTCTCTTGCTTCTGAAAACCCTTTTGTTAGCAACATAACAGTTAACTTGTTTGCATAAACTCCTTAGGAATCATAAGATCTTTTTCGGGATGCAATWTTTATCACAGTGTTTTTTATATGAAAGAATTATCATGTGTTCTGAAAAGGAGGAGAAAAATGATTTTTTGCAGAGTGAAAAGGTAGATCATGAGCTACATTGAAACATACTTCTGCCGTTTAAAGTTGTGTGTGCTGCATCATTTTCAGAGCAGTGCCATCCTCAAGAACTGACCTATACAAAAKAGTTTATTCAGTTTTGAATGCTTGCTTTTGTTACCCTGTCTATGAGATTATAGGGCCTTTACTACCACAGTTACAGCGTACTCTTTTGAAGTATTTTTATTTGCAGTGTGCTTTATAGAGAGAAAGATTATTATTTCTCATATTTTCAAGATACATGCAGAGAAATTCTTGACCTCACAGAGGAATTTGTAGAAGAATAAAGAATTTCCTCACTTAAGTGTTCACTCCGGCACCCTTAAGATTGGGTCTTAATTGTTGGGGTTTTTTGTTTAAGTCCACTCGTAGGATTTTTCCATTTACTTGCAATCATTTAAATGTCTTACAAAGTTTGTAAGTATTTGAATTGTAACAGGTACATTATAGGTTGTAAAAAACAYTAAGAAGCTCACCTCCACTTAACGGGATTTAATTCTCTTTTGCAGGATTTTAATTATTCACAGTGGAAGCAAGATTTTGATGAGATTTAAAGTCGAATGACTAACTGCTCACCTATTTCAAATCAACTACCTAGTTTCCACTCAATAAATAGGTTGTTGATTCTTTAGGAATCAATAGGAGGAGTTGCACTTCCTATAGAGGTAGTTTCATGTTAAACGAATCTACCAAGTTTACCTCCCTTTCTCATCAGACCTAGCAGTCAAGACCCCCAATTCACTCTAAAAACAGCCCCMTGATAAATTTTTGTTTGGGTCTGCATGTGTCACTTGTTTTGCACAAYGTCATGCACATGGAAACCTCTAGGGAGGGGAAGTGGAAGTGATGGGAAGTAGATCCCTTCAAGGAAAAATTTAAATGAGGTAAAGTGTAACATAAAACTGCACATTGTTCTGTCTTTGCAGTTTAATCCCTCCTGAAATACTTGCCTGGCTTTGACCAGCTTTGACTAGTGGCTGATATCTTAAATGATTGAGATCTTGGCAAGGCTGGACAGGTGTAGGAGATGGGCTCTKTGTGCTTAGCTGAGGGAAACCCCATCTGTTAGATTCTAAAAGTCTACACAGAGTCAAGAATTTAAGATCTTGGAATTAGTCCCAGCTCACAGCATATCACAATGCACAAAACATCACGCTGTGTGAGTTACAGCTGTAGTAAAACACCTCTGTGTTTTAAGGTCTATTTCTGGCACCTGGGTGGAGTTTTAGGGCCAGGGAGGCACACCTGCTACAGCTTATGGAGTGGAGTAGTGTATATAGCCTGCAGTCCCAAGATTTTTCATTCATAGATGAATTAATGGCCTGCACTATATCTGCAAGTGATTCTCCTGTTCTTTCTGTCTTCTCTTATTTCTCCCCTCCTTGTAGTATCAGAGGCAGTAGCCAGGGTGCACTTCTCCGCAGTTTTAAGGGATGCTGGAAYGGTGCTCCTGGTGAAGTACAGAATAGCTCATCTATGTATTGGAAATAATTTCAACCAAGTTCAAAACTGCGATGACTGCATAATGGGAGATAGTGTTTGTTTTGTGAAATAATAAAACCTTAAAAATAGTATCTTCTAAATTTTTTTTTTTACGTTTATGCTTCGTATTCACCTTTCACTCATTGCAGAAATGAGTGAGCTGGTTGTGAAGTAATGAGAAAATATAACCTGAGGGAGCTAGTTTCATTCACTATCCTAGTGTAAATACTTGCTCCCAAAGCAAATGTTTTAAAACATAGATGAGTAAAAAAGAATGGTGAATAAATTTGACTTACAATAGAAGTTAAATTGTTGAATAACTGACTAGTTATTAAAATGGTCCCCGTATAATTATTTGAGTGCAGAAYAGCGGTTTCATCATCCTTTGGGAAGGAATGCACCTTGCAAAGATTAGAAAGGAACAAGTCTAAAGTTAATACACTTCTACATAGTCGTATTTCTATGTGTTGAATTTCAATTGGAGTTTTGTTATTAAATGCACTATGATATCTTTTATTCAATGGCATTATTATTCAATTTATGATGTGTTTTTTGAGATTCTCGTTTCTGCTAGATTGAATGAACATTTTTTTTCTTCAGAAAGATTATTTACTAACTGGTATATAAAGTGGAGCCAAGATAAGACAGAAAAAATGCTTTTCTGTGCAACAGATCTTTTACATTATTTTTCAGAACGAGAAGCCTTTGGCAGGAATTCTATAAATCCGACTCGCCCCCTTACACTTTCCACAATCCACAGGAAGAATATGTATGGCGAGAACTTACTGCATAGAGCTGTTACTCATCAAGACGTAGATCTTGTACGTAAGATAATAAAAGCCGGTGGAAATGTAAATGCTCGGGATTATGCTGGTGAGTTTCAATTCAATTAAAATACTTTTAAAATAATTTCAGTACAAGTACCTCTCTGTAAATAATAAAAGCATATATTATGAGTCTGTGTAATGGAGAAGATTGGAGGTTTGTGACTGGTCAGTAGATTGTTAAACTTTTTTTGGTTTAACTTGATACGTTTTCTTGGGAAAATATGTAAAWTTAGTTATAAAAGTATACAAGAAAAGAAAATGTTGATGGAAAAGTAAGCACTTAAAAAAATTACGAAATTATGCAATTCCATTTGCTTAGTCTTAACTCAATGATTCTGTGCATGCTTATCACAAAATAGTCCCTAATTAAATAATCAAATTCATAGGTTTTAAAATTGGGAGTATTTTTTTTTCCATTTCAGTGGCCAACTTGAGATGTCAAGWTGTAAATTTTCCAGATTAATTTTTCAGAGACTTTGATTTCAACCTTTACATCTTGAGGGAAGCTGTATCTTTATAATCTAACACTGGCTTGAGGTTTTAAAGTTGTGATTATCTGGTATTTTTCATTTTTTCCTTTTCTTGGGCAGGGGAAAAAAACCCCAACAAATAGAGACCTGCTGCTAATGTTTTGATTCAAGTAATTTACCTTATTTGAGTCTTCCTGATCCATTCTTCCCTGCCTYATCCATTAGTTTCTGAAAAATTTCTGTAGCAAAAGAGAAAATTGTTTCAGACAGTGGGCTCTTCTGCTAGAAAACTTCATTGTTAGATGTTTCCATACTGTGCTAGCAGCTAGAGTTCACAACTATTCTGTGGGAAAGAAAAAACCCACATTCTGCAGTTGTAGGCTATTGCATAATGCAGTCATATCAGAGACCAAAATTAAGGTTACAATTCTTAGGACAGCAAATTAAGGTTGAGATAGATTGGGTCAGCATCAAATTTCAGACTTTTGCAGTGCAGGCATTTATTTGAGCTAACAGAGTGACTTTTAATATATACTTTCTTGTGCTGGAGGTAGATGGAAAAATGTTTTGTTGATGGCGTTCAAAGCCCTGTGTTGACAACTGAGAAGTGCTGATAGTGTGGCTTAAGCTGTAGCCACAGAAGGCAAGTGTACTAAAGTGATCTGCTTCTAGATTTTGGTGTCACAGCTGTGTCCTTTTTCTGCCTTTACATGTTTTRTTTGGCCACCATTTCCTCATCCCCCAGACTCTGGGGTGCAAAAGGAGCAGTGCTGCACAAAGTATCTTTTAGTTGTACTCCTTGAAGAGATGAAAGGTTAACTTGGCCCTGCTTCCTTTGTTTCCAGCGAAGAAGGTGTAATCAGAAAGAAGTAGACTTCCCAGACTTGTGTCATTTTGACACGCACTTTCATCATGGTCTCTTTGGTCAGTGTTATGAATATTATATTCTGCCTCTGTGTCTGTTCTTTTCCTTTAAAGCCTCCCCCCAGTGATTGTCCACATCTTAGCCTCGTATTTTTCCTTATTCCCATGTGAGGGTACTCTGCTTCAGTATCTTACAGAGTTCTTAGGATCTTCTGTTGCTTGTTTTGTTTTGTTTTTTGTTCTCTGTTTCTATTTCCTATTTCCCATTAACATGTAGGATATGGACGGCATGTTAGAGATACTGTCTTGCTTTGAGTCTTGATTGATAGTATCTCAAAGGATCTGAAAAACAGTTGCAGAGGAACTTGTGTTTCTCCTTGACTGGGAGCATGCAGAGTGTCCTGGCAGACTCATGTTGCTAATATCTACTGATTATTAATTGAATGTGTTGCAGGTGCAGTTTTTCCAGGTCATATTATTAGATCAGGTAGAGGGTACTTTCTAATGAGGGAGAAATTAGTACATTCCCTTAAATGAAAATCCTTATTCTCTCCTTAACAGATTTCATAATAAATCCAGTTACTAGGCATATGCAATATTCAGGGCTAGGTATGAGAGAGCCTCAAGAGTTTCTCTCCAGTGAAATTAAGATAATATTGTTTAATGGGAGTGAAACAGTTTTATTAAGCCTTATTAATTCACATATTTAGTGTGTGAATTAGGCACTGACAATCTTCTGATAGTGGAAAATTATTGAAGAGTAAGACTTACCATCAAAATGATCTTCTGGAAGGCATGTTAGTTTCAAAATTGGAAGATAGGAAGTGGAAAATCCTCTTGTTTTTCCCTTATGTATGTTAAAGGACCTGATGTATGGATATGCTCAACCCAGTACAAAGACTTACATTCTTATTTACAAAGACTTACATCYTCAACAGCTCCTTCATGGAGCAGAATTAATCTCATAGCTTGTTATTTTTTTTCATAGAGCAGGGAGTGAATATGGAATTTCACAAGGGATGGAAATGGAAAAACCATTCTTGGGTAGTCTTAAAACGATTTTGATTTGGTAGTAAATAATTCATGTCTTCATTTTGTCACTTCTTTCTTACTTACCTTCTTCAGCATAGCCCTGTAAATAAAAGAGTGCCATGAAAAATTACCTTGCTCTTAAAACAGTGTATATGTTTTACTCCAGGACCAATTACTAAAATGTGGGAAAAATAATTTTTATTCTCCCCTACATAACAACATTAGTTTTAGATTTGATAGTTCTGTTAGAGCAGCATCTACTCCCTCAGTAGGTGCAAATTTTGTCAAATGACATTTCCCAACCCTTGTGACTTTTTAATAAACATTTCTGCATACAACTTACTGTTTTATTTAATAAATATTTCTTCATACAACTTATCATTTTTTACTATTTCRGTATACTCTGTGAAGTCTTTATCAGAAAGATGATCTAAAACTGARAACATTAGAAATTTTTTCACCCAAATGTGAAATGCATGTTTTGCTTTTTCATAGGCTTGACTGCGTTACATATAGCAAGTGTGGAAGGCTTTTATAGAATAGCAAATCTGCTTTTGAAAGCAGGAGCTGATGTTAATGCTACACAAAATGAACATGTAACACCCTTGCAAGATGCAGTTAACGAAGGCCATTATGAGGTATACTCCKAATTGAACACCAAGTATGCTTTAGGGATAGAAATTACTGTTGTTGAGTCCAGAAGGTTGCATAATGTTTTTGCATGGGGCTGGTCTTTTCAGRTTATAGGTAAATACAGGAGCTTTCAAGTCCTCTCTGCCTGATTTCTGTTCAAACCACGTCATGCTTAATAAGATTTGTCCAAAAGGAGATTTTTTTCTAACTGTTTGAGATAATGGCTGTACTACTGAGAAGTAGATTGCTACCATTTAATACTGTTTTGTTCACTGATTTTGTAATCACCTTGCCRAATAACTTCTGACCTGAGCAGTCTTCTGGACTTTTCATGTCTTTTTTCTCCATTATTTAGGAATCATGCATGTATGGCATGTCGCCATAGCCACGCACACCGATATATTAACACAAATATGGAGCATTATGAAGAAATGGCTTTACATTTTGTAGGGTCTTAAACTGAAAGCTAACTGAAGAGTCAGTTTGAATTAATTCTAAGATTTGTTGTCAAATGAAGTGGATCATGAAGCTGTGTCTGAATTGCAGATCCTCTTTCAGTCTGGTAGTGATCACCTCCACCTGTCTTTGAATGTTCCTAGGGTGGACCAAATTTATATAGGAGTTGTATGTGCGTGTCCCTTTTATCTGATAGCAATTTCTTTCTCTAGACATGCCTATATGCTGCCTATTACTTACTGGTTTCCAAGATTTTAAAGRGGATTTTGGAGGGGGTTATTCAGTTTTGTCCCTAAACATTTCATCTTTTTCTGTTTCACAACTGAGATGAGACTTACTCTGTTCCTCCTGGAAAAATCTTCCTAGAGCAAAGAGGAAGAGTGGACTTCTGGTTAATACTCTTTTCTGAGACTGTAGAACCCCAAGAATGGATTGCAGCTTGTGCATCACAGGCTGTTGCAGGTTAATTAAATGTTTCTGAGTTTTGTGACTGTACCTAAGACATCCRGGTCCATGCTTGTGGATGAAAGATTGCATCAGTGCAAGTAATAATTAAGGGCCAGCAACTTGGGTGATACTGGAAGAATACTGATCTCAACTATGTCACTTGAGGCACACCATGATCATTCAGCACAGAGCTGAGTTAAAGTTATGCAAGCTGGTATATCGAGAGGGAACAGTACTACGTGGTGGTTCTGTATTTACTCAGTGTTCTGTTTACTCGTAGCAGTAAAATTATCTTGCTGCAGTGATCTGTCAGATTTAATTTTTGTTGTTTCTAACTAGCAACTAAACAGTGATAGTGATTGAGCAATAGGACTTTTGATAACATAGTATTCAAAGCTGTATTTTTCAAAGCTACATTCTCTGCGTGAAGTTACTGCGGTAGATTAGAACCAGACATTTTGACTGCCTTACCATTGTTTGCATCTGCCATATGCAAAATCAATTTATTTCAGAAAAAAATTCAGAAAAAAAATGAGTTTCTAGTAGTCCAGTTAAAGGAGAGAGCATACAAGTGTAGTGTGTAGCTAATAATCCCTTTATGGAAGAAAAGTTCTCAACATAACTGGTTGAAAAAATCCTAATACTTGGGGCAACTTGTGAAAACCAAAAGGGATTTTGCTGCTAGCTGAGCCCTTTTAATTTTACGCTTTTGTTAGGAGAATGTATGAATTAGGAAAACATCATTAACAATTTTCTCATTAGCAATCTGGTTAGAAGTAATGAGGTACTTGAACACACAGGTGAAGGATGTGAGTCAAGTTCAGTCCGAAACTGTAACAGGTGCTGAAGAGAGAAATGCAGAGGTGCAACTRAAGTCACAGTAATGCTGGTGTAAGATTGCAGAAATCAAGTAATAATCAGACTGTAAATTTCTCATGTTTTAAMAAATTATTTTGCAAAGGTTGTTGAAACATTTTGCTAAAGTGGTGATTTAGTGAAAAACAACAGAATCAGGCTTTTTAATTGTACAAAAATAATAATGTTGGTAGTAATACCATTTAAATGTGTTTCATTTGATCAGATGTATGTTATATATCAGAAAGAGCTATTAAAACTTGCTTTGCAGTCACAGGAGTCACAATAGACACATTTATTTTCTCCTAAAGTAGATACCCTAGATAGATAAGCTGACGTTTACCCTAAAATGACCTGTTATTTTCTGCCAATTAAGAGCTATGGGAGGATGAATTCTGCCCTGGATTTTGGGAGATCTTAGCCTAATGGCATCAGGTTAATAACTGGAACAGTTTTTTAAAAATAGTAAGACTGAAGTATAATGGTGCATCTAGGGGAATGCTTGGGGTTTATGAACTGGAGTAAAGAGAGATTTGATTTTAGTCACTTGTGCTGTCAAGTACAAGAGAGAAAAGGCTGTATAAGGATTATGGAAAGTACTGTCAGAAAAGAAATAATCTGAAAAACTTCTTTTTCTAGATGGTGAACTTATTGCTTTGGTATGGAGCTGATCCCTTATTGAAAAATAAGAAGGGAAGGTGTGCATTAGAAGAAGCTTCCCACCCATCTATTAGAAAACTTCTAGAAAGTTATGTGGCAAAATCCAGAAGATATTCAGAAACAGGTAGGAAAAAATTATGCTGATGTATCATCACCACTAAATGGAGAAATTCAGAACAGAATATTTTTATAATAAAATATTTTACTATATTTTCTTAGTTACTGCTAGTAAYTCTATGGCCTTCTTCTCTGGTGCTTGAGTTACCACTGAGCACTTCTTACTCTCCACAGTTGCTGTACATTGACAAAGTATAAAAGATAATGATGTCCAGATGTTTCTTGGACACTGGAGTTACCTTTAAATTTGAAATGAAGATAGGAAACACAATAGTTGTCTATCTAAATGGAAGATGTGGCATTGTTTGACTTGCTGAGATATGGTTGACTAGGGTGAGGTATGGTTTAGAGATAGGGATAAGATTTGGTTTTAAATTCACATAAAGTCTGAATTTTGAAGAATCCATAAGATAAAAAATGGGAAACTAGGATTAGATCCAGATCTTAGAGGTTGCCAAGCCTAAACTGTTTTTAGGGCTGTGTACAGGAAAATACTACTGTAGGTAACAGTTAGTGAGTTTGTAAGGAGAAAGTTGAGTTAGAGCTAGTGATTGGCTAAGGACAAAGTTGGGTCTGGTACAGTCTTGKGAACTAAGTTGCGAAGAAGGTTTGGAGGAGGTTGTTTGATTAGAAGCAGGTACAAGATAAGCTTTGATTAGAGCTAGAGTTAAGGCCATGGACATCCGTGGGCCGGTGTGGACTGTGCCATGTTTAAGCCTGGTTGGAGTCCTCATCCCTCAGACTATTATTCATTACTGCTTTTTCACTTGGGTGGCTATAAAACTGTAACATGTAGTCCAGGGATAATCAAAAGGGCCTTCAGGACCTTAGCATAGTTAGTAAGGGAATCTGGTAGACAGGCAATTTTTTCTCTCTTCTTGCAGTTTTGAGCAGTGGCATTGGAAGAAACAGATAAATTCCAGTCTATTAATGCATGACTGTGTAGCTAATGTCACTGCCACAATTCTGTTTTTTTCAATAATGGGGTGGTCTATATGTCACCAGGCCTTGTGGTGTCACATGGCATTCATCCTTCTCTGAGAAGGAAGAGGGCTTTGCTCATAAGTTAGCAGAGCTCATTGACGGAGGTTGAAACTAGGCTTTAAGGGACRCTGGGATAATAACAGACTTGCCCTTAAGAAGCTGTCAGGTGACATGAAGATTAGATGGATGAAGTGCTAGTGAGGGCTCTCAGCCTGCGGCTCTGAGACTCCTTGGGTATCCTGAAGGACACTTGAAGTCCAACAGAGAGGAGCCAGAAATTACTCTWAAGTTTCAAAAAGAGCTGCTCAGGTCACTAATCTTCAAAAAAATTTGGAAATATGTCATTCTTTACTCTCACTAAACCTGGTTTTAACAAGATGCTATTTGCAATAAAGATTATATTCCAAGATTTGATTAATATTTTATATATTGATATGTTTTAGATTCCAATAAAAYCCTTATGGACTTGATAATTTTTCTTGAAAACCAAATATCATATATATTTATGTAAGATGGTATATCTGTAAAGTAAATTGTTATCTCTTTTCAATTCTGGTTTCCTTCTATCTTTGATTTTCTTTTCAGATGGAGATGATTCAAATAATATGTTAAATACTCAAAGTGTAGCAGTTGCAAACCAGCACCAGGTACATCTTTATAAAGAATTCTGATTTGATGATAAACTGTTAAAGGCCTGCTGGCAGTCTTCAGTAAAGCAGGTGACTGTTCCTGAAGTATGTTTCAATTCTGGCACACAATATACTAGATGCATCATATCCAGCAGAGACTGAGAGTGATATTCAACATTATGCTCATCCGTACTATTACTTAGGATAAAGTCCAGCCTCATGAAGATGCAAGACAGAGGCAATCAGCTGTGTCTCATGGCCAGTGGTTCTTGCTGTTTTTGCAAGTGCTGCAGAGCTAATTTACAGAAAGCATGGTGCATCAGTGCCAGTTTGTACTTGCAGAAACCTGACTGAAACTGCAAGATGTTGCCTGGCTTGTAGGATAGTTCTATCTTAACTCTGTGTTGAGTAAGTTATGTTGGGTTTTGAGAGGAAAGGTTTGGGAAGACACTGASTTGCATAGAGGTTGCACAGTTATGCTGCAAGATCACAGTAGGATGAGGGACCCTACTCATGTGAAGACAAGACACCATGATCAGTCACTTGGGTCGGTGTTTGCACGCAGTGCAACAGCTTTTGGCACTAAGAGCTACATTYTCCCCCTCTGTTTTCTTCCTTTGAGCAACGATAACAGTATCTGAGATGTAGAATGCAGTGTGCATAGATACATGGTTTTTTGCTTCATAAAGTTTTCTGTGGTTATGACAGCTGTCCTTGTTACTCACAGTTGTGCAGTCTATGTCTCCTTTGAAAYGATGCAGTGTAACAACATCCATGGTGGATAGTCATAGATTATGCTTTAAAACATTAAATGATTGATAAAAAAGCTGCTGTAAACATTTAATTATGTAAACCTATTACTGTAGCTGTGTTATAACTGATAATTTCAGTAGTGTCAGATGCTGCAGTGTGTGTTCTGGCTCTGTCTCCAGATATAAAGGAATCAGAAGGATACTGCTAGTTAGTCATGGGCCTTTGGACCAATTGTGTTTTGAGATTGCCATGAGTTAATTTGGAGTGCTTTTGATGTGTTCTTTACCCTTCTTCATAATTTCCGGGAGTAATTGCAGATGCGTTTGTCRGAAGTGTGAAACTGTAGCTCTGGCATAAGACCATAGAAGCAAGGCAGTTTTGAAGGCAGATCATTAATTCAAACCCAGTTCAGTTTTCAGAAATAAATACAAATTTGAGGCACTTCAGTAATATTTATTGTTGGATTTTACCCATGAACTTTTCATGCATATTTCTTAGTTCCTTAATTCTTTGTCCTGCTGCCTTAAAAAAAAGCACAGAGGAAATCAGTTAATTTTAAAGCAGTACCATTTTCTTTTAGTATATAATAAAGCAATTAATCAGAAAATAAAACTAAATATATAGCCTGTTTTGGAGATAGAATTAAATGCAGATGTACTTCAACATGATAATTCTGGAACATCAAAGGAAGTTTTGCTAAACATGAACAAAGAAAAAAATTGGTGAAATACACAAAGAATGTGTGTTGGGGTTCTTGGTGAACCTTTCTGTGAAGGCAGAAAAATGGAAAAAAAAAAGTTTGAAAAGGGAAGAAATCTGCTATTCTTGTAGCAGAAGCTACAACTAAGCGTAAAACTATTCAGAAATAATGTCTCATGTTATGTAAACCTCAAGTTTAGTTCCACTTACAATCCAAGGAACTTTATAGAAAATGTATTTCCTTGATGATGGACCTGATGAAAAGGGCCAGACTACTGCTCYATCTATTCATAATTGTTGCATCCCACTTAATGTTGTAGGGAACCTGAACTGAGTYAGGTGGTATTACAACAGGAATGTAATTCAGAAGTGGTAAAGTGAAAATTCATTTGCAGAATAAAATGGCAGAACTGATGAAAGTTCAGCCGGAGATCACTAGTTTGTTGTGTCACATCCATGTTTCTGGAGAAAAAGTGTGTGCACAACATTCTCAGACTGCTGATTTAACAGAATTTGATTCTTAGTCAATACTGACTTGCTTGACTTCTTCTCAATGTCTGTTTTAAAGTGACAACAGGATGGGGTGAGTTATGACAGGGATCAACACAGCCTCATGCACAGTAACAGCAGTAGATTGAGTTCTAAATACTGTTATGAGAACACCTTCAGAATGATTTTTTTGTAAAATGTGACAAATCAAGTGTAATCTGATGTTAATGAAAATAAAATTAATGAATCAGCACTATATTTAAAACCTCTGTTTGCCTTTGTTTTGATAATTTCCTTACAGACAGAGGATTCAGAACCAGCATGTGCAAATACTCAGAAGACAGGCCAGAAGGCAAAGGCAGCCTCATATGCCAGSAGCAGCACCAACAAGCTTTCATCTAATCAATCACAATTGAACCAAGCATCAGAACAGCAAGCATCTAAGAAATCAGGTGAAAAGTTAATACCATATAAAYCTGTGGAGCTTTTTCCAAACATACATGAGGAAGGCTTTTAGAAATGCGTGAAGCAAAGTTTGACAAAATACATATAGCATGTTGAGCAAATACTCTAATGAATACCAAAAGTCTGAAATGTTTCCAGAATTTCTGCACTCCATTTCCTAGAATGCACATTTTTGTTTGTTATGTTCATCACTCTCTCCGCATTGTGGTTGAGGGGATGCAGGATCATAAGTGAGAGCTTCAAGCTGATCCTTATTTAAGTATGTTACATAAATGGCAGTTTAAAATAACACTAGATCTGATGTCACAGATCAAAGAACAGGGCTTTCTGAGTATTTGGCACACAAAGATCCACTTGTATTTTATAGCCTATATCCTCATCAGGCACAAGCTAGCATAGACGGATTGTACCGGTAGCTTTGGGTTTAGCTGTAGTATAGATACAAACCTACTTATTTGACAGTAGGGATCTAGCATCCTTGTGTAGTTGTAGTCTCTTCTGCCGGAACATATGGCTTTTTATTTAACATTTTCCTCTTGCGTTTAAGATTTGAATTTATCTTATAGCCTTACAATTACAGCAGAGTCCCGCTTCAAYTCATCTTAACTTCTAAGAATTTTCACTTACTGTTATTTTGATAAAATTGGCACTYATCATGTGCACTTTGGTTCTTTCTGGAACCAGAGAACCATCGTACTCAAGACTTATTAAAACCAAAATCTGAAGTTTTGATAGGATCCCTCCTTTCTTAAAGCCTTTTTTATCTCCTRTATGGGCAGTCACGAATTAAAAAAGCTTTATTCCACTCCTGTSTCTTATATTTTGGTCTCATCTGGGATAACATGTCCCAGGTTGGTTTTTTCCCTTAAGAGGAGGAAATATTCARGATGTATCTTCAGGCAATATTTTATTCAGATAAAATTTAATTATTTCCTTCATACCAAGAGAATGTTGCCTTTTCAGAGGAGTTTCAAGAAAGTATAGTCCTTTGTACAGTTGAAGGCCTTAATTTTGGAGTCCAGGACAATGGCATTCAGATTGCTTTACAAAAATGATGGATTGATGTTTTCTGACGTCTGGGGTTTTCAGATTTTTTCTCTCCTATGCCTTTTCTTCATTTGCTGGCCTTAGGACTAATCAGATGAGATAAAATGTCCCACTGGTCTTCCTTATATTATTCTAATCTTGAATAAAAACCTTTTCTTCACAAATGACAGTGTCACTTTCATCTGCAGTCAGTCACTTACTATCTCCCAACATTCATATTCTGCTTATAAAGAAGGAAGGTACAAACAACTTGCTGCTTCTTTTGTGGTTCAACCTGTGGAAATAATTGCTCATAGACCAGTGCTGAGGTATTGACAGACAATGTCCTTGAAGTTGCTGAGGTATGTCAGCCTAATCTAACCTGATTGCTGGTTACAGTAATCTCTTCATTTTGTTTTTGTTCTGTGCTGACTGGACTTTGTATTTACCAAGATCTGGATCTTTCTTGCTTGTGACCCACCTGGCAATGCATCCCATCCTGCAGAGAGCCAGTATTTTGTGATTCACAAGCTGATGCCCCATTGTGCTTTTGCAAATATTTTCTAACAGCCGTGAAGCAAACCRTTGTGCATGACAACTTAACTGGAAAACTTTGCAATTATTTCTGTTCACTTGCAGCCAATATTGCTAAGGTTCGTTAGCTTAATGGGCTGTTGTGTGCCTTTTTTTTTCTGCAACGTCTAAAAAGTCCCTAGGACATTCTCCCATGAATGGAAAGGAAAGGAAGAACCAGAAAGTGAATGATTGCTTTGGGAGTTCAGACCCAGAAGCTTTTAGACAAAACACAATACATTATCTTATGGTAAAGTAGGTCTCAGATTAGAGAGTATTTTAATAATGTGATGCCTTTGTGTGCTCTAGAATCTCAAGTTTTCATTTAAAAGAAGAACTCTTGAGCTTTTCTGGTTACCAGTACAGTGTAGGCCAAGGACCCTTAGTGCAAAGAGGATTGCCTGAATGCTTTCTCACAGGTTTGAAGAGCCTGCAGTGAGYGAGGTCATGTAAAATTAGTATGGTTTTATCCTCACTGTAGGTCTATCACTAATATCACTTCACTGTGTCTTTAATATTTTTCAAAAAAATCTTGTATTACAAGCTCCATAGTTTGTTTTAAATGAAGCATTGGAAAAATAAATTTTCCAAAAGGCAGAAGGAGCCTGAAGAAAGGCAGCTGTCAAGCATGGAAGATGTTTGATCCTAATAAATAATACTCATCGAAAATATTTGGGAAAACAGCTTGTTTGATGAGAAGAGGAAGATGCTGCAACTAATTGTTCATAGGAATAAAAGGAATAAAACATAGATAAGAGTWGCAAAATGCTCATTTAAAACCTTCCATTTTGTCTTTTTTTAGTAAGTTACAGATTTTGAAGAAATCAGAAAGAACATTGTGAACTTTTAAAAAATATCTTGGTAGTATGATATTGTAACAGAAGGAACAGAACTTTAAAAATGTTAGTATGCATGACAGACCTTTTGAATATTTATATACCCTGTCTTTTGGGTAGCAGTTTGAGGAGGGTGYTGTCCTTTCTCTATACACATAATCAGTACTTTGTTAATCTCTATTTCTGATTGTATCTCTTGCAATTTAGTAGGTCTGTTACTGAAGCTTCAGAATTAGAAGCTTTCTGATAATCATATGATGTGATTAAAATGGATGTTGTTTGCTTTGTGAACCAATAAGGATTAAATCAAGTTTATTTGCAATTATGGGTCCAATCCTGCATAGATTTAATTAAAAGACTATTTATCTATGCCACTAAACATTACTCAAAGACTTGTAATCAGTCTACAGTAGATTTTCACATCACAGCTGTAAAAATAATTTGCATACCTGTGTGTGTGTTTGTATATATATATTCATCTGGTTGTATACCTATAGCGATATGCGTATGTATATACATATATATATATACACACATATATGTGTGTGTATATACATATATATATATACACAGCCTTATATTTTCCTTGCTCTGTAACAAGGAAACTGTGACTTGAAGATGTGATGCTCAAGTCTTCATTTTTTTATATTTTCCTAAGTATCTTTATGTGTAGTTTATATATTTAGCGGCCTGGTAATTTGAAAGCAGTCCATGGAGAAACCTAACATATTCCCTTYCTCTATACAGTATAAAACTTGAATCTTGTTACTTTTCTCGTGGGTTCCTAATTAGTTGTACCCTTGTTAAATCATCTAGGTTTCAACTGGAAATTTTTTAGTATAGGATCTGTTTGTGAGCTGTTGTGTAGTATCTTCTACAATACCTTCTAACCTTTTGATATAGCCAATTAATGTTATTGAATAATTAAAGCAATGGTATTACCCACATTTACATTTAGAGTAATTCAAGTGAATTATGAAGCTTAATTTTCTATTTATTCTTAAGCATTCTTTTTGAAAAAAATTTCTAACGAAGAACCAATATCTGCTTAGGRTATACCAGGGAAGCAGCTGTAATTGTTCGTGCTACCTGTAGAACAAGAACCATGAGAAAGATGAAAATTAGGAGAAACTCAGCAGGGGAAACTCAGTTGCATATTGCTGCTAAGAGGGGAGATTTGTCCTTGCTGAAGACTCTAATATCATCTGGAATTTGTGTCAATGAGCAGGACAATGCAGGTTTGAAAATTACTTTCTTACAGGCTTGTTTTATGATACAATTTTACATAATCTGTAGTACACATACACTTATATAATTTGCGTAATTTTAATAAAATGATGTATTCTTGACTTAAAATTGTTCGGAGGAAAGGAAGTCATTGAACAAGTGCAAGCACACTGAATGAATACATGGCATTTGTTTCAGCATGGAGGTAATGCAGACTATTTCTCAGCAGGGGCTTTAATAGGATTTTGCTTCTCTGCTGAAGAGCACATTTTCAAAGATGTGTACAGAAAATGAACTTGCAGGTTGGGTGAGATAAATAATGCTTATGTATGTCRGTATGTGTGTGTAAAGCACATTCACACAGGTCATATTTTCTTAGGAAATAAGAACAAAAACCAAATTATAGGATAATGTTTTCTTTTTTTTCTATCTAAATGTATAGCACCTTTCTATTTTCATAGTCTCAAAATGGATAGTATTCCATACTAGATGCCTGGCAGACTTAATATTATAAAGTGTTACTGATATTAGATATCAGACAATTAATATTTTGCTTCTGAGTTTTTAGAGTTTTCCTACTCCTGTGTTTTGTTTCTTCTAWTATTTTTACTATTACAGAAAGGAATAAATATTAATATTAATATCGGAATAGTTTTTTGTTATATATCGTTAATATCGGAAAAGTTTTTCTCTGAAGTAAACAGAATTGCACACAAAATAGTTTACCTTGTAATTTCAAGATGATTGTTTGTATAAAGTAATGCAGCAAAATATAGAATTACTGACTAGAGACCTTTGTGGATCTTCCCAGATCCCATCCARTACTGTATGTGTCATCTTGCTTTTACTAGGTTGGACAGCAATTCATGAAGCCGCCAACAGAGGATTTACTGATGTGATCTTAGAATTACTGAAAGCAGGTGCTGATGTTAATATCAGAAGTCTCTCTGGTGTTTTACCAATACATGATGCTGTTGCTGGCAATTATTTGGAGGTACATTTTTCTTTATGTAAGTTTCCCTGATACCAGTTTCCAGCAGATGGTCAGCAAAGCAAAATCCCCATTTCATTAAAGTTACTAACACCATTTTAGTGTACATTTGCACTTAGGAAATAAACCAGTGTTCTTTAAAGTGATCAGAATGAGAGAAAAATATTTTTCAATAGTGACACTTGAAATTGTACAGTTAGCTKACTTTTTCAGTACAGCAGACAAAACAGAAAAATTCAGAAACTCCTTGTGGTTCTTTCCCAGTTCTGGCTTCTTAAAAATGATATTAAAGTTGAGCATTCTCAAATTCATTGATTAGTTCAATGTTGCTGCAGATGCGATGATGCATTTCACACATAAGAGAGAAGCGATAACATGCTTTATTGATACAAAACTATGAGTTAACAAATTTCACTGATAAATGTGACAATTTTTTAATACAACTCTAATATTTACTGCCTAGASAACTGCAAGAAGGACCCTGCTGTTGAGTCATCATGATGTTCAGAAGGAACTCCCTTGCTTTCTAAAATCCTTCTCAGATGGCTAGACCCAGACTTGGTCTCAGATTCAGTTAGCAGTTTATAACTAAAAGAGACTGTGCATGCACAATCCTTTCTACCACTTAGCTAAGATTTCAAAGTTTAGCATGTGGCAAGGAACCTCTCAGCCTCGAGAAGTAACCCTGACAGGTGTCCATGCTCAAGGGGAGGTCCTGGTGTGCAGCCCATTGCTGTGTGAGAGAGCTCAAGGGCTCTGGGCTGTGCACTGTTTATGCAGTAAGATGATTGATTTATGGTCATATTTGCATACCAACAAGATGCCTGGGTCACTGCTCCAGACAGTACCCTTGGTTCCCCAAAGTCTGGAGTAAACTGGATGCAGCTATCACAGCGGTCCCTGGTGGCTGTGGTTTAAGCACAAGAGGAGAGTTAGCACATGGCCATAAAGCCCTCTGTCGTGGATGGGACATTTTTTCACTAGCTCAACTTGCCCAAAGCCCTGACCTACCTGACTGAGCAGTTCTTGGGATGTGGTGTCCACAACTTTTTTGGGCAATCTGTTTCAATGTCTCACTGCCTTCATTGTTAAAAAAATATTTTTGTACAGAAAAGATCCTGGGCCTGCTGTTTCAAAATCAACCTTTTTTTTTTTTTTTTTTTTTTTTTTTTTTTTTTTNAACTGGTGCTTTCCAACCCAAACCATTCTGTGGTTCTAGAAACAGTCCATTTCAGTTAGAAGGGTCCTACAGTGATCATCTAGTCCAACCCACCTGATCCTGTTGGGACCAACTGGAAGTTAAATCATGTTAACATTGTCGAAATGCTCCTTAAACATTTGACAGTCCCCTTGGGGCATTGACCACTTCTCTAGGAAGTTCCTCTAATAGAGTTTAGAACCATTCCCACTCATGTATCACTGGGTCCCTGGGAGAAGAGATGGCCCTTTGTCTCCCCACTTCCCTTGCTCAGGAAGTTGTAGAGAGTGTTGAGGTCACCCCTCAGCCTCCTTTTTTCAAAGCAGACAAGTCCAAAGTCCTCAGTGGCTCCTCACAGAACACGTCTCTGATCATTCTCACCAGCTTTGTTGCTTTCCTCTGGGCATYTTCAAGGACCTTCACATTCTTCTTAACTTGTGGTGCCGAGCACTGCACAGAAATAAATAAAATGTTACTTTGTCAGAGTGATTTCTGGGGAGCTGTAGTGTAAAGGTGATGCCCAGATTGGCTCAAGCCAATCAATACTTTTATTTCTGTCAGGACAACTCATGTTTAATCACATTTATCCTTTTCTGTGAGCAAGAGTAAAACAAAGGAGATGATTTCACAGGCCTGGAGCCAAACTACCAGTATGGTTCTTGCAAAGATCTAAGTTTATTATTCAGTATTTTTGGGGAAAACCAAAGAGAACATTCTTAACTCCAAGAATTGTTCTCATTGTGGTGTGTTTTCCAGCTTAACTGCATTCTGAGTGTGAGAAATAAGAGGAAATGCTAAAGTTGAGGAATCATAGATATGAAAATTCTTTACCATCCAAGCTCTCATCTCATCAGTTTCATATTATCTGAATTTAAGGGGTAGATGATTCTGCTGATGCCACTAATCTCTATTCCACATTTTGCAATTAAGGAAACTTGCAAAGTTTTTGTAATTAGGAAAAAAAATATCAGTTCATGTAACCAAACCCAAACCCACTATTAAAGAAAGAAATCCACTTCTTTCTGCACTGTGGTCTTAATGCAATTGACCAGGTCCTTTTAATTTAGACATGTGGCATTTTGTAATTGTTCTGTATAACCATAAAGCCATTAAAACCCTATAAAAGTTAGCACCATAAAACTATACATTAAATGAAAATTTGTGAATTATTTGTGTGGAAAAAATAGAAGTAGAAACATAGAAGTCTGTGTTGATAATAGATAGTTATTTAGTTTGTTTAATTTGGATTGCAAGTGTAACAGTTTCAGGATATCTAATTTGTWCCTGTATTCTTTGGGATTTATGTTAGAACACATGTGTCTATGTACTATAGTATTGTAATTCCATAGCAAGAATTACCACKGTACAAATAATGAAAATGCATAACAGGCAGCCAGGATTCTGCTGCAGCATGGAGCAAATCCCAACGAGAGGGATGATTCAGGACAAAATGCTTTGAATCAAGCTTGTGATGAAGAAATGAAGGAACTGCTGAAGTCGTACGGTGCTATGGACTCTGTRCTTCCTGTTCCAACTATCGAAGTTACTGGTATGTTAGTTTTGTAATATAAATCATAGCATTATCCAGTGGTCTTAAGGAAAAATTGTACATTAAAATAGTATGGTACTGATAYTTTAAATTCTATTAACCAATGAATGCTATTTATTTATTTATTTATCTACAGAAAATAGGATACGTTAGTGGGTTTCGTTTATTTTCTGAGAGAATGAGGTATAATAACATATTTGGATCTTCAGAATTTTGTTATCCGTATTTCCCTTCACAGGAAGGAAAATGAATAGTTTAGAAAGTGGTAGCTTTCATTTCTTTATGCTACCTAAATTGCATGTCATCTGCATGTACATGATACTTTTTTATTATTTGATCTGCCATTGCGTCTTTGTAACCTATGTTAACTAATCCAACCTATGATGCTTCTGCAAATTAATCTTAGATTTTATTTATTTTTGCTTAATTGTGGAGAGGGGAAATCAAAACGTCATTGTTACGATTTCTGTAAAAATGATGACGCARCTTTGGAACCAGAGCATGAGAAATACAGCATGGTAAGTGTAGATAACAGAGTTTTGTTAACGTGTTTTGTAGTATACTGCTGCATAGTGACATTTGCTGACTGAGTAGTGTAAAAATATAATTTAAGTAATAAATTAAAATATATGTAAAAACAGCATTATGCAGTGATTTATAGTAGATATGTTGTTGTTTACATATATAAATACGTTTATTATCACCTCTCTCTGTTCATGGCTCCTGTGCATTCAAATTTATTGGGCAAACAGTATACAGCACACTCCTTACTGCTTATATAAATAGAAAAAAGGTCATGAGTTCTGAAACCTTTCATCCTGTTTCCAGAATGGTTCTTTTTGAAACAGCAGTATTGTCATAATGATGATGAAGATATTTAGAATTTGTTTATCTTAATGTAAAACAACAAGGAAGATTTTTGCACAAGTTTTTAGGAGASCTCTTGCTGGTGTCTGTAAGCTATGTCTGCATTGTTTGGGTGATGCTGGAAATTCACTATCTAATCCTTGCATGCACTCAGAGGTCTCTGGAGGACTCTGAGCATTAACTAGTTTGAATGCCACGGCAAAACCAGGCTGTGACAGCCCCTTGCAGAGTATGTCCTTGCGCTAAGTATCTCTGTCCTACCCGTGCTTCATTGCCCTTACACAGTAAATCCCTGCCTGGAATGACTTGAGTCCACCAATACTTGAACTACAGGCCATGAATCATGAATCATGGCCTGGTCTGTACAGTGCACTTGGCTCTACTTCATACTGGAATTTCTGTGTTAACAGGAGCCTGTTGCTGCCATACAAGATACAGAAAAGAAGCAGGAAGAACTGTTGCTGTTTGAATTGAGAACTTCCAAAGATGCAGGTAGATGTAAACTGAAGTGTTTCACATACATTTAGTGGGTAAATATCTTTGGCAATACAATTGTTTAAAAATGTTATTGCACATATCATATTTGAATATCTCATCTGGAAAATACAGCTTCAGAGAATAAGATTTTAATAATACTTCTCAGGTATGGGCACTTCCTGAAGTACTTCCAGTTGCATAAGAATGAATATTATGACAGAAAAGGTGGGCATGCCACTTGGAAGCATGTGTCTCAAGTCAGCCTAATTATGTAAAAAGGGAYCATTAGATAAGAATGCACATGAGCTCCTGCATGATCGAGAGCAGCTATTTCTGTATGTAAAGTAGCAGATGGAGCATTTTTATTCTAGTGTGGCTAGACTTCCAGGAGCCTGAAATAATTTATGAGAGAAGAAGGAGAATTCTTTATGGCAGAGACTGTGGATGATGGACAATTTCAGAAATGCTGATGCCCAGCGGTGTAATTTGTCTTAGGCTATCAAATCTCAGTTMATATTAATCTCAAGAATTTACTAAGTGATAGTGACTTTGTAGGAGATCATGATGCTGCTGCTGTGTAGTTGTTGGAGTTTATTGTGTCCCTGCCATGATGCTTCAAGAGGCATAGCCTGCTGCCAGAATGCCTTTGACCAAGGTCTCTCTCCCCAGCTGCCCTTGCCTAGATGGAACAACTCATACTCATGAAACAGTTTTGCTTCCTGACATAAAGAAGGGGTTTGTTTTAAAATTTATTTTCCTAATTACAGACTAATATTTAAATTCCTCAAGTTTCCTAAATACAGGAGCTTTCAAGTTATATTTACAAGTAAATTTATCCCTTAAAAATAAACATGAAATATGAAATTATGCAGATTGTTGGATTCCAAGTCAAATTTATAGTGTATGGAGTGTTAATTAAAACAGATGCTTTCTTGAAAAATGTTTGACAAACAGGTAGATTATACTATAGACAGAAGCCTATGCACAGCGACCAGTGCAATTTCATAATTGCAAACAGAGCAAACAGAGCTGTCAGACTTCTCCTGTTCAGGAATGTGAGAGAAACGAAAGTGGTGATCTGCTGCTATCACTGACAAAAACATTAGTAATGTAGTACCTCTTAAACTAAGTTATAGTCATTACTATTRATGACACACAAGACTGAACAAGAACATAGAAGTACATTGACAAGCTTAAAATGTAGAGTACAATCTCAAGGTATTTCCATGCAGTGAAGCCTACAGTAAATAACAAATTCAAATTTACTATTAAACTGCCTTAATAAGGGTAATATTTACATATTATGAAGTAGGCAAATACTGGTAGGTACTGTGAAAAAGGTTTGGGGAAGCATTTTGTAAATGTCAGTTCAGTCCTGTAATTCATAATTTTTCCCGATCATGTAAAGCTTGCATTGACTTTTTGAATTTCAGGAATTAGATTACAATTTTAGCAAATTATCCCAGTGGTATCTACCTGTTGTGACTTCTAATCCTCATGTATGTGTCTAAGACATAGGGTGTATAAAAAGGAATTTAAAAATGCTCTTTTATTTTATAAAAATATAGCTAACAGAAAGTGGCAATTTATCATTTAATTTCATAATATGAGTTAGAAGCTGTGTAAAACTGTGATAGATATGCTTTTACCATTATATGTAATGTAGGTTCATTGAACTGTTTTATAGTACTTCAAACGAAAGTTTTAGACACATTCCTAAGACTGTGTACTTTCTGCAGGTGGCCTCAGTAATGGTCATGTTATGTAGCTCCTTGCGGCACAGAAAGCTTGAAAATTTTCAGTGCTTATCATCCATAGGGCACTTATTTRTTCTTTTCTCTCTTAGTGATTTCCTGAAAAAGGTACTTGCACTTCAAAGGTTTCTGGTACTTGAGCTATTTTCTTTTAAGTTAAACTTGTATTTAATGTTTTCTATAAGAATTTAGTTAAAAGACCTTCAACTGTAAGGAGCTACCAGCATGTRTTCCATTATAAAGTACTACAGTAACTTGTACTGGGCTGTGTATTTGCTACAGTGAAAATGTTGTTAATGTARTTATTTTCCACTGCCTATTGTCACCATCATTCTGATTATTTCAAAATATTGAACAGATGTGTATATCCAAAGGGTGACTCAGATTCATGATACTTTGAATGAAATACTTACAAAGCAGAAAACAGAGAGGGATACTCTTGCTAAAAAATACAGGTAAGTAGAATACAAGGGTTGTATTCACAGGATGCTATTCTGTGCAGTAGTAGTGATAGAAGTTGTTAGGAGATTAGCATATAGAGACATGAAAGTAAATCTATGGGGTTTTCACTGAGATTTTTTTGTAAGTTTCATCAGAATTGGCTTCAGTTACCTCTGTTACATGATGGAGGAACTTCAGGGTTTAAACTAATGCATACTAATCTGTTGCTCTTCTCACAATGAGCATTGAAATTAGGTAGTGAATAATACAAAATGTGTGGAAAAATACAGAATGACAGAATATGATGAGTTGGAAGTGACCCACAAGGGTCATCGAGCCCAACGCTTACCCTGCACAGCACCATTCCCAAGAATTGCACCATGTGCCTGGGAGCATTGTCCAAACACTTCTAGAGCTCTGTCAGGCTTGGTGCTGTGACCACTGCCCTGGAGAGTCCTGTTCCAGTGCTCAGTCACCCACTGGGTGAAGACTCTTTTCTGAATATTCAAATCAAAACTCCTTTGTCACAACTTCAAGCCATTTACTTCCTGTCACTGGTCACCACAGAAAAGAAATCAGTGTCTGCCCTTCCTCTTCCCCTCATGAGGAAGTTGTAGACCGCAATGAGGTGTCCCCTCAGTATCCTCTCTTCCAGGCTGAACAAATCAAGTGASCTCAGCCTCTTATGGCTTCCCCACAAGGCCCTTCACCACCCTTGTGTCCCTCCTTTTGATGCTTCCTTATAGCTTTACTTTAGGCAATTGTGGAACCCGGAACTGCCCCCAGCACTCAAGCTGAGGCTGCCCCAGTGCAGAGCARGGCAGGACAATCCCCTCCCTTGCCCGGCTGGTGATGCTGTGCCTGATGCCCCCAGGACACGGGTGGCCCTCCTGGCTGCCAGGGCACTGCTGGTTCATGTTCAACTTSCCATCCATCATGACCCCAGGTCCCTTTCCATGGCATTGCTTTCCAGCATCTCATTCCCCAATCTATGTACATCCAGGAGTTCCCCATCCCAGGTGTAGAATTCAGCACTTTTTTCATATTGAACTTCATATGGTTGGTGATTGCSCAGTCCTCTGATCTGTCAAGGTCTCTTTGTGGGGCCTCCCTGCCTTCAAGGGAGTCAACAGATACTCCCAGTTTTGTATTGTCTGCRAACTCACCAAGTATCTCTTCCAGTCCTGCATCAAAGTCATTAATAAAGATATTGAAGAGTGCAGAGCCTAAGATGGAGCCCCGTGGAGCCCCACTAGTGACAGATCACCATCCTGATGTCACCCTATTCACTACAACTCTTTTTGCCTGATTCCTGAGCCAGCTGCTCACCCATGACACAATGAGTTTAGCCACCTGTGTGCTGAATACTTTGTCTAGAAGGAGAGTGAGAGGGACACTAAAAGGTTCTACTGAAATCCCAAAAGTGGGTTACCTTTTAAAAGGAAATTASGTTTGGACAACAGGACTTTCCACTAATGGAGGCGTGATACCTTAACATAAATTAGGAAATTGAGAGATKGAGCAATTACATTCATTTTGCAGTATCATGGAGGAAAATAGTAGCAACTTGAGACACTACTTGGAGTCTCCCTGCTTCTGGTTTGTTTCTTTAGCACCCCTAGATTAGGACTGTTCAGCCAACAAGAACCATTTAGACAAAAGGCTTGAAGCATGCTTGCATTAATTTTATGTTTGTGAGAACAGCTAAGATGTGAGCTAGGACTGCTCACCTTAGTGTAAGCAGGGACTATGTGAATTACCAGCTTCATGATGCTAGGTGTCACAAGGCATCTCTTTACTTCCTTCTGAGAGTGACTACCTCAAGGCTGGTCATACGATAAACACTCACCTAACAAAGTAGCATTMTATTCAGCAGATGCTTCTAGGCCAGCTGATGAGGATGTTTATATACTGTCAGTACAGGCAGGATTTGGTTAGTCATGTAGAAGCAGCAGTGTATAGTTTTCAGGTAGTCCTGATAAAATACACTGGCTGRTTGAGCAAAGAGACTGAAATATTTCTGTCACAGGCCATTTTGCCAGCTATAAAATGTAAGAAATACAGTTTATATGGATAATTAAAAAAAAAAGAAGAGGATTTTATGAGGAGTTAGGGTTCCAAATCATCCTTATGAGCAAAGCAGTGACTGAATTAAGAAACAAGGACAGTAAAATTCCCAGCTACACAAACTTACCTGCTTTCTAGTATTGAGAGTGAGACTGTTCCTGAGTGAAGTGATAAATATTTCTGGTTATTGCAGATATCCTGCAGCTAATGCAACAGCCATCAGTCGATAGTAATGAGCTATATTCCAAATCACGTTACATTTCCTTTTTGTTATTTATATAGTGAACATCTTATTTTTAATTAGTAAGCTTATAACTTTTGTCACACAAGCCATAAATGCATAGATCAGGAAGCATCATCTCATTTTCCRTCTTTCAGTTGTTCAGTTAGTTGGCCTAACTGGGAGAGGTAAAACTAAGATTTCTGTACTAGCACCTTCTGTACTAACGTACTAAAACATATCTCTTACCTGAGAAAAAATGAGCAAAAAAAAGAAGTATCATATTTGTTTGTGGCTGGAAGTTACTTTGTCATTTTAGTCATAGTATCTTTGCGTCTTCAGTTGGAGCTTCTTCTGTACCTGTGTAGCAATACAGCAATAAAACTTCCCTGAGGAATAACAGCTAGAAAATTGTGCAGAGCCTCACTGGCCTGTGTAGAAGTCCACAGTTGTCATAGCTAACTCAGTGATTGACTGTGTGCTGATATGATAGTAGTGTGYTCCAAGCACAAGTGATACCGAGCAGTATCACAGAACAGATAGCAATACTGTCAAGCTGTGTTTTTTCTGTCCTTTTTCTGAACCATCTAGGCATGGTGTACCTTTGTCCTGATCCCCTCAACAGTCTTTTTGGGGACTGGGATGGTGTTACTTGCATGGTATCTTTGCTGTGGGTGTGTTTAAAAGCAAACCATATTGCAATTCCTTTTCCCACAGCTTGTGTTACTTCTCTTCCCAGCATGGTGCCAGAATGGTAGTGATACTACATATTCTATAGGAGAAAAGAGTATTATGCTGGGCTGGTGGCTCTTGTGCCAAAAAAAAGTGGGGCACATAAAAAATTTCCATCCAGCAGAAAGGAGGTAAAATCCCCCARGAAAGGAGTCTCACAGGAAGGAGGCTCATTCTGGGAGCAGGGTGTCCTGAAGGGTGAGACATTCCCAGATTATACAGGCAACATCCTAAACTGATCTGTCCTCTTTACTTAAATGCAATGTGGCATTATTGCAATTGTAGCAGTACAACACAAAATCTTGTGTATGCCATAAAAAAATTACAGTATTCAGTAGCTCATGCTGAGCTCATTTTAAAAGGTTCCAAATTAGAGGCTCAAGGACATTGAATTCAATGAACTACTATGATTTGTGGTGATAAAAAAGCATCCAAAGATAATACAGGCCCAGTTGTGATTCTTTGAATTAAYGTATAGGAGTGTGAGACTGTTACGGAATTTTGAGGCTTTACATCCTAATTCTRTGAAATCCCCACTTGCATCTTAATTCTGCATTCTGCTATGTTATTCTGCACTTTGTTGTCCATAAACCAGGGATTTGAACATTGAACTTCTTACATTAGAAAAATATTGTTCAAATTTTAAGTGTTGGCATAGTCCTTTGAAGCGTGTTCTTTATGGTTTACATCTATTGAACTGTTTTAATTTTGCATTTACAGTAACTCCAATGCCCTTCTTTTTTTTTGTTTTCAATAGGGCTTCAGTGGAATCATTTAAAAAAGGTGCACTGAGGAAACAACTAGCTAACCTTGCTTCTAGGCAAAAGAGCCTGTTGACTGTTGCCCAAAACCAGGAAAAATTAGTGCAGAAAATACAAAATTACAGGAAAACAAAGCAAATGTCCAATTCATTATCAGAAATGCAAATGTCAAAGTCAGTTGTTTTCCATGGAAATGATACAAGACAAAGTTTAACTGCTAATGAAATCATGTGTCCTGATACAGTTACATTTARTATGAGTCTTGGTGCCAGTACGCCTAATGGAAACAGAGTAGAATCACATGTCTCTTTAGAAAATAGATTTTCAACTCAGGAATGCATCCAGCATCCACACATCTATTTGAATGAGACAAGAACAAATAAAGAAGCAATTAGGGCCAAAGAGGCTTCTGGTCATGCTCRGGCATCTGAAAACAGGGTAAGAGAATATCCCTTTGACCATATGTCAAAGCTGACAAAAGCTACAGAAGTGATGACATTGCCTTCAGAACCTACTATTTCCACTGCTGAAACAAAGCGCTCACAGCAAAAAGACATTGATTGTGTAGCAATTGTTGAACAAGGAAACAAGTCTTTAAATCCCACTTCAGTGACCAACACATTAAATATTGTGGAACCCCGAAGCACTGTTGTCAATAAGAATCCATGTCAGACAGCCAGTGACTGCAAGAAGGTTCTTACACATGAAGCTCTACATAGATACATGAATAAGAAGGAAGCATTCCAGCAGCAGCAGCAGCAGCCGCAGCAAATAATTTTGTTACCATCTACAAAGAGCTTCTCTAACGGTTTGCAGCAAATGGTCTGTCAGAGTAGTGAGAATTCATGTAATGCCAACTTGGTACTTACAAATTTTACCTCAAATACACATTCTCCCGTAAATGTCAGTGAGAAATCTTCACAGAGCTATAGTAATCAGGAATGGGAACAGAAACAACTGAGGTATGGACGGAAGAGTAATAAAACCCCTCAGTTGATAGACCTGCTTGAATTGGGAAGGATAAAACCAGGAGAAAACGTTTTAGAATTCAAACTGCAGGTAATTGTTGAGAAATAGTAATGTTAATATTAGTGGATAATGAAAATACCCCACTCACTAAAATATGGGGCAACAGCAGTTCTCATGGTTTAGTCTGCATCTTCAGCACTTACTAATGAATGTTTTTATTCATTGGTTATAGATAACTGTGAGTTTAAAAGGAAAATGCTATGGATAAAGTCTTCTGTCAGCCCGTAATTTTAAGACCCAGAATATTGCATATGTAAAATTTGTGTTTAACTTTGCATTACCAGTTTGTTAATATTTCCTATTTCTAGAACCAGTGTGGAATCTTTGGCTAATCTACATTGTGCAATACCTGATACTAGATTACTAGAAGGAGCAGGAATATAAATGTTTTTATGACCTTAATGTCATTCTTGGAAACAACTGTCAAGTCCCTCAAATAAAAAATGTGACACCAAGGATTTCGTAGTGCTGTAATAGGCATGAATGCATGCAAAATTACTTACTTACATGCTGGCTTGTTCTATAAGCTTACTGTCTGGTATGAATCACATATTTAAAACACAAAGAAAAAAACCCCTAATTTTTTTAATACAAAAACATGTCCCTGTCCCTTCAAATACAGAGCAGATTTTTACATCAACTGCCAGGGACCTGGCTTAGTACTGAGCGTATCATTGACTGAGGGAATCATTGACTGAATTCCCAGATGTGAGCTAGTTAACTTCCAGGGCAGCATATTGATAAAAGCATGAAAGGTTCTTTTCAGCCAACTCACCAGGTTAGTTGATGTAGAAAGAGCTGCTTTTCCTGCACCTGTAATCTGCTCAAGAATGCTTTTCTGCTGAGAGTTGCCATTTCATGTGGTCTTGTGTTTGTAACATAGGGGAGTGTAAGTCACCAGGCTGTACATTAGGCCATATGATAGGTATATAGACACACTTCTTTTCTTTAAAGAACATGTGATATTCCTTTGAACTGCAAGGTGATTAAGTGGAAGGATGAAAAATTCAGTATGTCTACTGTCATTTTCAAGACAGTTCTCTGTGATACCATCTTGATGCATGTGGATCCTAAAGAGCTATAGCCCCATGCCGTAAGTACTGGTTTAGAAGGGTCAGTGATCTTTACTAGGTTGAAAATGACACTTATTTATGTTTTGGGAGACAGTGCTATAGAAATCAAAATTTAGAAGCCAGTGTTTGTTGCGTTGCAAATACGAGATGATCAGTCAATTTCCCCTCTTTATCATTATAGTGTAATATATATGTTATCAATGTATATATATATTGATTACAACATACAGTTATACATAGTCCTTACTTTAGGTTAGCTTTGGGCAGGCAGAATGCAGTTGTTGAATGAAATAGACCAAGGTTGTGAATGGGATTGTTCACAGAGATCAGAAACTGTGAACAGCAGTGAATGCTCATTGAAATATTTGAGTTAATAATCTCAATTTAAATTCTTAAAGACACTCCAAGCCAGTAAATATGGTAGGAGGTAGTTCGATATTTGCTGGTGCATTATACTCTTATTCAGATTTTTTAACTTTATGAATGATAAATGACTTTACTAAGTTCTAACAGAGTTCATTAACAGCTAATTTTTGCATTATTTAGCTATGTTAGTCCAACTGAGGCAAATATAACAAAACCAAGACTTACTCAACTATAAACAACTATAACTTGTGCTACTGGAGARGTAAAAATGTTTGCAGAACTGGAGTCTGCATTAGGAAAGAGGCATTAATAATAAGTTCTTTTATACTTAATTGTGCATAAGGTAAGGTTGTCAGGTTCCTCCTAAAACATATGATTTTRTAAATATGTTTCATATTTGAATAGTTGCTGAAACTTTATTCTTACATGCATGTACCACATATGACAGTTTTGTGTTGCACAATTTGCCTCTCATAAGTGCCTGAGATCATTATTGCAAATTCATTTATTCAAAGCYTTGTTAAGTGTAAGAGGAACAAAGATACAAATACAGTTCTGACAWATACACATAGGGAGATTTGTCCTCTGATTGGCTAAAACATTTTTTTTTCTGGTGGACTAAATCCTCTTATTTTACACGGTTTCTGAAAGTGGCATTAAATTATTTACTTTTTTCCTGAGAAAAAACAGAATGAACTGCAAATTTTCAGCTAAGTTGTTCTTTGGTATTTTTCGTGTTTCAAGGATCTKATTTCATATTTGTTAATTTTTGAATTGAAATTACTTCTTGTTCTTTTCTTTTTAGGAATTCAGTCATAAAGCTACACTCTTAAAAAATGGCAAGATAAGAACAAGTAAAGGTCAAATACTGCAGAATCCAGTTCAGTGGGTTAAAGACTTACTAGGAAGTGGTATTTCTGTGACATGGAAGTATGTGTGGAATAAGGTGGGCCTGATTTCATTCCCAAAGTTAGCAATAATAAATGGCTATAAGAAGTTTCACTAGATCGCCTTACTGTTCTTAAAGCAAGAGGGTGCAAGCTTAAATCTTAAATGTCTTACTTTTAATGAATGAGCAGCAAAGAAAGAGCTACATAGCTGTCACTGTACAATGATGAACTAGTCATGAGTGTTGAAAGAATGTGGAATGCTCACACTGTAAGCTAGCAGGAATTTGAAAGAGTAGCTTTAAAGATTATTAAGACTGATAGAATAGCTGAAACATAGTTTGATAAAAAGGAGTAAGCCTATTGAAATATCAGTGTCATGGAAAAAYGTTGCAAAACACTGGCAGAGTTTGAAAGGCTTTGCAGATGTAATAATGGGCTTTATTATGTCTGGGGTTTTGTTTTTTTTTTTTTCCATTAGAATTCAAATCAGCATAATTTCTTCTTGATCTTGATAGATGCACATTAGACTGATAAGTACATAAACTTGGTTTTATTAGAAAAGTGAAGTTTTTATACCTTTCAGATAAACCTCAAAAAAAAAAAACAACTAATTAAAACATTCAGTTATCCATCTGGATTTCTTTGTACAGGTTACATATCTTGGGAAAGAATTGTCAAAATTTGTTGTTGACGAAGTGTCAGTTTCCAGTGAGCTAGAATTACCAACACAGGAAGGAGAGCCTTTGGGTATGTACCACTTAAAATCTAATATTCTTCATGGTTGAAAGCAGCAKAAAGTGATTTCTAAAGAACTTAAATCCCAAAATTCCTCTATTGCTTTCTGATTTTTTCTGGGGTATATGGTTATCACACAGTTCTTGAACTTGAAATGTAAATAGTGCCAGAACTTGTACATGAAGTCGGAAAAAGTACACTTCTTCCATAAATTTGTTGTGTGAAGAGAATAATTGCTAATGATTTGTTTACTAYGTAAGAACTTTTTATATAGTATTTTATATTAAAATATTTATTATAAAGTGACATTTCCTGTAAGCTATTTAACTCAGATACACTAGCATAAGTTTTAATCTCATATACATCTTCAAATCATATTGAATTATCTGTGTGGTGGAAATCCCGATATACCCAAGTGACACTAGTAACGAGGAGGGTATTTTATTCTCTAAAAATAAATAGTTAAGAGAAATAAAGTTCATTGATATGACAAAATGGCACTGAACAATTTTTTCAGAACTGCCTGCAGACTTAAGAACTTCAGTTTAATTTTGATAGGCAGTGTGTTCTCAGGGAAACACAAGTTCCTTTGACAGCCAGTTGTAATTGGTCTCCAAAAAGCTTTTAGGCTTTTGGTATTGGTTTTGTTAATTTGGTGAGACTCTGCACCTATGTGAACTGGGATATTAGACTGGTCTGTTTTTAACATATTAAAAGTAAATTAAAATATAACAGTTCAAAATCACTAACTTGATATTCAAAGTACCATGTTCTTACTGGTACTTGCATCAGGCTAGGAGCATCCAGATAATGGGTTTATTTTGCCTTGCTTCTGTAACTTCAGTTTATACAAGGTGTAAGTGACTTAGAACTGGATTTCATTTCCTGTCTTTTTAATAGGCCTTTGAAAATTTCACTAGTTCTTCTGAATAATTTGTACTGTGAAAAAATTATGATAAACATTTTAACTTCTAGAACAGAGAAATCAATTTATTAAAAAACTACTCTTGACAAACAGAAATCAGCCTGCAGATCAGTAAGTGTTTTTTTCCGAGTAGTCCAGGGTCATCTGGATAAGAGTATTTAAGGAAGTTTTTTTTGGATGTATATTTTAAGATGACAATAGCCACTGCCTAACCATTAGCCTTAGGTGAGAAATTGAGGAGGGGAAAGTTGGAGTTTTCTGAGTTGAAGTTCCTTTCCAGATACTATGTAGCCACATATGTAGGACATTAAACAGTGCCTTAAATTGTTTCAGGAGAACATTAAGCTGTTGTTTTGTGAGAATGGTTGTGGTCTTTGGGCAACCCTCGARTGGCTTCCAAGCTCCATTCAGGAGTTAGCTTGTTCCGAGTGCTCTTTCCAACAGACACTTTGCACCTGCAGCCAGCCTGCTCAAAAGCAGAGGAAAGGTTGCTGGTATGGATGTGAACTATTCCATACCACTTGCCTGGAGACATTCCCATGCACTCTTTCATCTTTCTAAKATACTTCAAGCCTGTGTGTAATATATAGTAGGAGTTTTTCCTTCTTTTTAAAGAACCAAACTTCCTTTTTTTTTTGTACTGTATTAATGAGTTAGCTTTTTTCCTGTGCCTTTTTTGTTAAAAAAGAAGACTGGGGCCTGGAAATTTGAGCCATTTTGAGAATACTATTCTTTTAAATACCCCTCCTTCACTCTCCTTGTAGCTTCYCATACCTTGGCTTCATGTTCATTGAGCTACTATATGAAGAATATGGAGAAATGGGAATAAAATGATATATGAAGTGGCTGCATCTAGCCATCTTGTAATAGAAGGAAGCAGTTCCCAATGAGCTTTCTGTACAGTTTAGGGAGTATGTCCTAGGAACCTCTACCGAATCAAGGCCCCTTGGCAAGAAAAGAGAAGGAGATGCTATTCTGTGGTGGCCAGCGTAAGGAAYGATGCAGCTTTACAGCTTGGTTGAGATTAATAAGGCGCTTCAAGACTTCTAGATGATGCCTTAGCATGTCAGTACAAAAAACTTGAAGAACATATGAAGTAAAGCAGTCCCAGACCAATGCAGGGTTTTAATAGAAGCATTAGAGATCACAATTTTAGAATTGGTCATCGAAATCCTACTTAAATTTCAGTTCATCTCTCTGCTTTGAGTCTGAATTTTCAGTCTCTTCTAGGATCATGCTAGCAGAAAGCAAGAATTCCTGTATTCAAGCCTGCATAAGAACTAAACATTAAGCAAATAAAGCAGTACTTTYAGATTATCTGTATATAGGAAAGCAGAAGGAACAGTTATTATATGGCTTAGAATTTCTCTTTGCATTCTGATACGTGTAATGATGACATGATGTTGGCTAAAAATGGCCAAGAACAACAAGGATTCATAAGCAAAAGTCAARAAGAACTGAAGAACAGATGTAAGTTGCAGAGCAAATGTTGGTGTCAGATATTTCACACTGAAATTCTAGCTAAGTGACTTAAAAGCTTATTCAGTTGCTACAGTAAGTGTGATATGCACRTTCACTTTGCAGATTGCTATTTCAGGAAGTTGGTCTTTGGGAAACAGCAAGACGTGTCCAATTCTTGTGCTCTGGCAATGTGTTACTGCCTTTAATAACCATTAGCCACCTGTAAAGATTAAAACAGCTCTCATTATGCTTTAGTTCATGAAAGATCCCAAAGTTGTATGGAAGAAGAGTGTTTTCAAGGGAATGCAAATGATCTCACTTTGGCTGAACGATAAGTTGTTTCAGAAGGCTTATATTAGTGTTATTTCAGGTATGGAGCATAAAATGAGCAACTGAACTCAGTAGGAATGCTTGAAAGCAAATTAGAAGTTGTGCTGTAATCGAATGTGATATAGTATGTTTCTCGTTTCCTTGATGCAATCAATAAAACACATATATTTAGTAGGCTATTTTTCAAGTTAGATTTCTGCATCATCTAGTGTAATTTTGCTAATGAAGACATGTATTTAAAAATAGTAAAAAAAGAGGAGCCCCCAATCATTTTACAGCAGCAGCTGCTGGGCTGGTAAAGAAAAAAAGGAAAGTCTGCCCTTAGATGTGTTAGGTCATGTAAGGCTAAGTGAAAATACAGAGAAACAACTTAGGAAAAATTTGTTTTCTGTGCATTAAATCACCAGTGTTAAGTGATGCCTTTTGTTCTTTGAATGAGAGTATCTTTTCACACTCTGAGGAAAGAATTTTATCACAAGAGACCCCAGCACCATAAGAGTCCTGGTACGGTTTCCATTTTTCAGCCTCTTAGGAGCTTTGACCTGAGTAATATGCAGCCAAACRCCACATCCTTGGCACAAACACAAGTTGTAAGAGCTGTGTGCTGAAGGATAAGCAGCTGTTGCCAGGGAATTTATGAATAAGTGTTTTTTTAGCACAYTTAAAAAACCTAATGGTGGATGCAAGGGCTATGCAAGTGATATGAAAGGAAAAAGAAAAGCAGGTGGCATGGAATTGATTTGTGTGTGGGAGGAAAAGAGTGCTGGTAAAAATGATGATGCTGCTGAGGGTCTGGATTGATTTAAATGACCCAATAGCAGCATTTTTCAGAGCTTAGTATAGTGGACTCTCCTGTGTCCAAATTAGAAACATTTTGCTATTTTGATGTACAAAATAACTCCATATAATTTTGAGTACTCAGTTAAATGTCTCAAAAAAATAATAGTATAGAGAAGTGTCTTCTGAATTTAGATGAAGTAACATGATACTTAAGCATTACTACATAATCTCATACCATGTAACTTAAAGGGTGATGTGGAAATGCTCCTGAAAATGCTCTGACCTTAGTGTAGTTGACCGGACTTGTAACTTAGAGTTTTGAGTATTACATTTTTATATTGACTGCATGTTAAACCCTATCTGTAATASTTGTATTATTTGAACATGCCTATTGCACTTGATCTGGTATTTTTGCCTCTACGGCCTGTGATTACACTACAAAGGGATGACCCTGACTGACCACAGTGCAAAGTCAGAGTGATCAACTCAGACCCCAGTGGCAGGTAACACTGCCGTGGTGTGGGTAGCAGTGCTGAGCCAGGTCTGTGTGGGAGGCAGTAAGACAGAAAAGAGAAATGAACCTAATCGTTGTCAGTCATCATAAACTGAAAGTGCATCCACACTTTAATGCAATTCTTAATACTTCTGTACATAGGTCTTACAGCTACTTTGCGAGGGATTGAGCTGAGAAACCTGTGCAGAAAATGCTTTGTTATCCAACTGGCTTTTTTTTTTATAGAAGCAAACAGGCTTAGTATCTTAAATGCCAGGGCAGAATATTTGCAGGAAGATGATCTTTAATATTACAAAAAATAGATTGTGTAATAGATCATTTTCACATGTGTGTCAGATTGAAAAGTCACACATTTTATGGCTTATAGGAGTTAATGTTTCTCTGCTGAGCAAATACACAGCCACATTGGCATTTKCTCAAATATGGCTACGAGTTATAGTAGCCTACCAAAAAACTGGTCTTGTAGCATGTATGGCCCTTGCCATCCAATTATCTGGGCACTCAGTCCTATGTGGAAACAGTTACAGCAAGTGYGCAGAGTAATTTTGTAGCAAGAGTAACCATTAATAGGCAGTGRAGATGATGCAAAATTAAAGATTTATAATAAATATTAATGAATTGGAAATGTACAGAAATGTTGCTTCATATATAAATTTTTATTCATACCTATTGTAATTACGCGTCAATTAAATGAAAAAAGCTGCTGAACATGCAGTATAAGACTTCAAAAATTAACCACCATCTTAATTTTGATATCTCTGCCTTGTGGATCCCAAGTCTTTTGTGTATAAGTCCAAGGAGAAGCTTCTCAAATTTCACAGTCCAAATTTCACAGACTAAATCTTTTAAACTGTAAAAATCAAACTTGTACTTTAGAAGGAATTCCCCTGGCAAGCAAGTGTCTTAGGATTCGCATTTCATTAAGTCTCTTAAATTAAATTTTGTAAGTGCTGTGAGAAGGCCTATAACCCGTAGATGGATTTGCTGCATTGGTTTGTCCTC